AGCACCACTGGTTTCAGCCTCCACTCCCAGATCGTTTATCCAAACCTCATAGGGAGATCTTGTAACCAGAAACAGATAACACTTTCAACTGAGCAAAAATGGAATAAAGATTGACTCCTAAGTAACAATAACCACATTGTTAAAAGTGTGATTTCTCAATATTGTTGCATTTAGTTGATTTTTTTATTAGTTTGTGTTTCAAACTAATATTTTGAACAAAAAAAAATGTATTCATAAGAATCTCACACTGATCTGTTGTGTTTTATCTAAATACCAAATCAAACTATCATTGTAAAACAAATTGATTTTCACAATCCTGCTGATTTCTAAGTAACATTGTTGCCTAGACATGTATAAACACTTTTATGTTGTACTGTTTCTGCAGATGCCGGTTTGAGTTCCATCTGTCTTATTAACCTTGTTTACATTAGACTTGGCTAGTTTTAGCCGATATCTCAAGTTGGTGAAACTAAAGGTTGTATAAAAATATTTGGTAACATTTTCTATTAATACCATGTCTATGAGCATCTATAAACACATCCATAACATATTATAATACATTCATAAAGCATTATGAATGTGACTATAAATATTTTAAAAAATAAATTACGCTTTAAAGCCATGTTTATTATGTATTACAATTGTTCACTTAATACATTGTAAGTAGTCTTATACATTTCATAAGCATGGCTAGAAAGTGTAATGCATTTTTATAAATATTTATAGCCATGTTTATGATGCTGTATAATTGTATTATAACATGTTCTGAATTAGGTGTAGATGGAATGGGGATGGTGTTGGGTTATGTGGGAAAGAGGAGGGGATGATGTTCAAGCACAGGGAGATGAGATGGGGATGGTTTTGGGTAATGTGTGTTACATGTTGAGAAGGGTTAAGGAGAGGAAAAAATTCCAGCCAAGTATGGGACAGATAGGGGATAGTACTGTATGTACTATTAAAGTGTGTACTATTTGTTCAGGACACCAATGTATTAGACTCTACATTACAGATTCTCTGTAATCTTGTTACCACTGTTCATTAGATGTTTTTCTGCAATATGGGACATTTATGACTTGAGTAAAACTTTAAGCCCCAACATGTCATGATTTTGTTGCGAAAAGTCTAACATCTGCTAAACCTCCTGTCCCAACAACACATTTTAGATTTAACAATCTAGCTGTTGAAATAATGCTGCTGATGTAATGGAGCACTGCCTCTGCTGTGCTACCAGAGATTTATGAGTGTAACATGAAAAGTGGAACCTCCGGCTTGGCAAATCATATCAGACCTTGTTAAAATACCCAATATGGATTTGTGGCAAATTATGGTCAGTATAGCTGGTTGGGGGTTTTTACCTGGTTGCTTGTTAGCTAGCGAACTTTGGGTTTTCAAGAGACAAAGAAAAGGGGTTAGGCCAATGCTAACCTTAGTTTACTAGCTGACAAGTGAACTAGAAGCTTTTTTAAAAGAAAAAAGACAGGCAAAACTGGAGAAATATATTGCAATGCGATTGTACCATTATTGGTGTGCATTATTGCTCATTAGGTTATTACCTTCATCCATCTACTATTTACTTCTTTCTACAAAGCTGGCGAACCCTTTAAGGCCAACACAAAAAAACATCTATTTTGGCTATTTAATCTACTCTTCTCTAATAATAATATGATTTCTCAACATCGTTGTTGCACGTAATTGATGTTTGTAGAACTTGTTTACTTTTTTAATGTGTTTTAATATGCTTTTTAGACTTGTTTCTCAAACTGAGCCAGAAAAGCAAACCAATAAGTATGTTACATAGATCAATTGTGTTAAACACTTTAATGGTGTACCATTTTGATTGAAGAACTAAAAGAAGTCTTAGATTTCACTGAAATAGCTTCACAATAAACCTGCCAGTCAGTGTGCTAGTGACTGTGGACAGGGTGTATAAGCCATGTATGCGTACCTTCATTAAAAAGAAACACTTCGAATTTTGGATGCTGTGCGATGCAACATAGCATGTCTGATATGTGGTGGCCTATAGTGAACTAGCCACCAGTGCCTCACTATACACAGACCTCTACAGCCTGTCCACTTTTACCGTCACTAACATACACACTGACTGGCAGATTGATTGTGAAGCTATTTCAGCAGAACAAAACTGCCTTTAACTCAGCAATTTGTGGCCTGAAGAGCAAGATGAGTTCAACATAAATGTAAAACTGGCAACTCTGGGCATTTACTAACAAGTAATGTGGATAGGGATTGTGTATGATGTGGATGGGCTTCCAGTGCACAAAGTGAAATCTTCATTTCATTGCAGTTAACTCACACAGCTGTGCAGGTGGTTTTAGCAGCAGCTGGATAAAGATTAAGTATATGAAGACCTGAAGAATTCAGCTACCAGAACAGCAAGAGGATTCAGATAACAGAACATCAAGGACAATTAAAAAGGTACTTTATGAATGACTCATTGAGGTGAATTGTTTTTTGTTTTGACAGATTAAAGGATGATATTAGCAAATGTCTCAAGTGAAATTGTACCACTAAAATATTTCAGTTACATAAAAGATTATTTGTGGTTTGCTAATGTGCATGTAAAAAAGTTTCCACATTGCACTATACCCTTTGTATTTCGGTACTTTGTAAAGTAAAATACTGCAAAGACAACATATCAAACATTGAAACTGATACATTTTATTGTTTTTGAAAAAATATATGCCCTTATGAATTTGATGCTAACAACACATTCCAAAAAAGTTGGGACGGGGGCATGTTTACCTCTGTGTTTCATCACCTCTTCTTATAACAACACTCTGTAAGTGTTTGGAAACTGAGGAGACACTGCTGTAGTTTTGAACGTGAAATGTTTTCCGATTCTTGTTTGATATAGAATTTCAGCTGCTCAACAGTTCAGAGTCTCTTTTGTCATATTTTTCATTTCATAATGCACCAAATGTTATCAGTCGGTGACAGGTCTGTCAGTTTAGGCAGGTCAGTTTAGCACCTGGACTCAGCAAGACCTTCCCTGAAAAAGATGTTGTCTGGATGGCAGCATATGTTGCCAAAACATGTATATATCATTCAGGATTATTGGCACCTTGACAGATGTGCACGTCACCCATGCCATATGCACTAATGCACCCCTATACCATCATGAATACTGGCTTTTGAACTGTGCACTGATAAAAAGCTGAGTGGTCTTTAGCCCGGAGGACACAGTGTCCATGATTTCCAAAAAGAATTTCAAATGTTGGGGCACACAGGACACTTTTCCACTTTGCCTCTATCCATTTTAAAATGAGCTGAGGCCGAGAGAAGGTGGCAGTTTTTCTGGATCCTGTTTATATGTGGTTTCTTTGTGTTTTAGAGTTTGTGGATGCAGCGACAAACTGTTTTCACAGACAGTGGTTTTCAGAAGTGTTCTTGAGCTCATGCAGTGATTTCCACTGCAGAATCATGTCTGTTTTTAATGCAGTGCTGCCTGAGGGCCCGAAGATCATGGCCAGCAAATACTGGTTTTTGGCTTTGTCCCTTGAATACAGAGATTTCTCTGGATTCTCTCGATGTTTTAATGTTATTATGTACCGTAGATGATGAAAAGCAAAAGTTCTTTGCTATTTTATGTTGAGAAATGTTATTCTTGAATTTTTGCACTATTTGCTCATGCAGAGTGGTGAACCCCTCCTCATCTTAACTTCTGAAAGACTTAGCCTCTCTATGATGCTTTTTTATATCCTATCATGTTACTCACCTGTTGCCAGTCAACCACTAGGTGTTTCTTTTGTTTCAGTCTTTTGTTGCCCCGTCCCAACTTTTTTGGAATGTGTTGTCATCCAATTCAAAATGGTCGTATATTTTTCAAAAAACAATACAATTTCTCAGTTTTAACATTTGATATGTTGTCTTTCTACTATTTTCAATTAAATATAAGGTTGCATTTTGTTTTTGTTTACATTTTGCACAGCGTGCAAACTTTTTTGGAAATGGGGTTGTAAATTGGTAAAATAGTATTTGTTGTTCAATTAATTTCAGATTAACTTGATGTTATGTGGAGCAGAAAACACCATTTTAAGCGGTAAGAGAACGACCATCCAGCTGGCTGCAATGTGCCACTGTCAGCACATGTGTGCAGTTTGATGGCATGCACAGGTATTCTTGGTCATTTCTGGAGAATCCAGAAGCACATTTATTAAGAAAATAAAACCCTTTGGGAAATTGTTAATATTGAATGTAAAAGGCATATAACCTCCATATAACCTGTTCTACTCAAGCCTTTTGTAAGCAGTGTTAATAAGACAGCATTTGTAGAATCAGGACCAAAACCGGTTGAGGGCTCATTCTGTAGAAATGGTAATAGAAGACTAGGCAACAGTTGTACTTAGAAATGAGTAGGAATGTGAAGCTCAATTTATTTCACAATATATATATGTGTGTTTGTGTGTGTGTATGTATGCATGTATGTATATATATATATATATATATATATATATATATATATATATATGCTGCATTTTTCTAGTTCAAAATTGCAGTTTAAGACACAAACTAAAGAAAAAAATGGTTATTTTCAGTGTTGGTAAGTCATGTTCTATACATAGAATTTAAATGCAACAACACTGTTGAGAAACACATTATTATTAGAGAAGAATTGCTAAAATAGCCACTTTTTTTCCTTTGGCCTTAAAGGATTAACTGGCTTTGTAGAAAGAAGTTAAACAGTAAATGAATGATTGATTTACAATCAATGCTACAAAAATGCTTTCGCCTACTCTGTGTAGTAACCTTATGAGCAATAAGTCACAGTACTGATGGTACGATCCTATTCAGTGTCATATATTTCTCTGATTTTGCTTATTCCCTTGTATTACTCTCCATCCCCACCCACACACCCACTCAGTATCTCTGATGAATAAAACCTGTTCCACTGTTATTGTGAAATTTTGCCCCAGTCCAATGTCAAATATTTCCTCCTAGGTCATGTCCCGACATGCACACTCATAAATTCATATTCTCTATAAAGCCCCCACAGTTTAATGTTCGCTTAAGGACTTCAGCATCTACAAGTGCAGGTATGTACTTTTCATGAATCTATTTTATGCTGGCAGTAGTATCTGCCACTCACCTGGTTAAGAATGACCAATAAAATACTCTTCAAATTATAAAAAAAAAAATGTAAAAAGAAAAACAAAAAACGGCATTGTAAATATGCCAAAACAGGCACATGTAATAGTCTTTTAAGCATCGTTAAATTCTGCTCTATTTCATTCATTATGAATAATAATAATTTAAAAAATTGATTGTTCAAGTTTTATTGTTGTAATAATATTATTCTCCCAGGAAGAAACAGTCTGTTTATTTAAAACTCTTGAATCATCTGCTTTTAGCTTGTATAATATATACATATGTAGTTATGAAAGCTAAAATCAGGAACACATACATTGCGAATAAACATAGAATACAACCCTGTGGAACACCATAAAGATATGATTTCTTTAGAATTTGAGAAAAACTAAATATATTCCTCCTTTAAAATGTGCATTAAACCGCTTTAAAACAGTCCCTGAGAGGCCAATGAATGAAACCATGTTTTCCTACTGTCATAATACATGACATTTATATAGCACTTTTCAAAGACTTTAAAGACATGTACAGATTACAAATTGGATGAACATGAAATGTCAACATAAAACAAACCATACACATGACAAAATAAATTAGAGAAATACATAAATCACAGAACACAGGAAAAAAGTTACAATACTTATAATAGATTCATATAATAGGTTCAAGACAGAGGAATGCTGTATACAAGAAAAAAAATAGATGTGTTTTATGGTGGATTTGAACAAAGACAGAGAGTTTGGATGTTGAATTTGTGGAAGGAGAGATTTCCAGAGGTGTGGAGCAAATCTGGAAAAACTCGACCTATTAAATCATCTACTTTGTCAGTTATTGTTTTATTACTATTTATGCTCTGGAACCCGATTATTTAATTTAGTGTAAATGCTGCATTCTGAAGAAAACTGGTCAGAAGTTCAATTACATTTATAACACTCATTATAACTTAAATATAAGACTAATAAGACTATCAAAGATTTGTTTTTAAAAATTATGTTGGAATTCAACAGATAAACAGGACCAGTTCTTGATCTTTCAAAGCAATAGCCAGGTTTTCAAAGGATGGGAAAATAACTAATAAAAAATACCAAACAGTTGAAGTTGAAGAAGTTATCTTGTGGAGCACTTTCACTAATGAGAATAATACCAATTTCTCAACTAACAATTTCCTGCTGTAAGTTTCACTTCTTCTCTCTCTTTTTTATTTTGGTAGCGTGTAACAGTGTGTTGAAGTGTTCCTTAACACTTAACTTGCATAATTTGAGTAGGTATGTATGTATTTTATTAAATACTTTGATGACCTAAGAATAACTCAACCAGTTTGCATTGACGTCCCTGAATATTATGCCTTAGAATGTAATTACCCAGGGATTTTAATAGATTGGTGACACAGTACAATTGTTACAAAATGTTAGTCCTTTTTTCAGAGATGGACCTGAACAAGTGGAGCAGTGAAAGGTATTTTTTACCTTAAAAAGGTATTACCTGTTTATTACTTTTACTACAGACTTGTCCACTAAAACTATCCTTGTGCAATGTGTGTAGTGAGGTGAGAATTGGTCACTCTCTGAATGAAGCTGAGAGACAACATTTGGCCAGAAGGAGAGAGACTGTTCTACAGTGCCTAAAGCAGCATGGCATAACCTGCAGTGAGGTAAATCATATTCATCAACATATAACCTTCAGGGCCAGATTTAAGAAACATGCAAAACCTACAGTGTGTACAAACAAAAGCAGTCTTCTCAAATTTGTGATTGAGTTACTGTGACCTGCCATTTAAATGATCTCACTTTCTCTGCTCATTTTAATTCAGTTCAAGAGCTTATTGTCATTTGCACAATGAGGTAATATTGTCCGGATGACACATTTTGAGACAATTTTCATTTGTGCATCTTTTCTGTTAGAGCTAGAGTCCTTCATTTGTGTTAGTATTAAAAAACATGCAATTTTGCTCATTAGTTTACATTAGCAAATCACAGCAGTGATTTGCATAATCTCCTCCCTTAAAATGTAAATCCATTAAGTCAGGCATACTAAAACATAGGTGACTTCTTGTGGACAAGCAAAAAGGCTTCTGTGTTTTTGTGTGCACAAAATGCATTAGGCCCACTGCAAATCTGAAATAGTAAATCTGAAATACCATGCTACAAAACACTAGGCTGTAGAATGCTATGATGCTGCTATTATTGTCATATAACCCTTTTTCAAAAAATTGAGATGCTGTGTAAAATTTAAATAAAAACAGAATGCAAATCATTCAGACCCTGCAAATAGTTCAAAGACAACATATCAAATGAGAAATGTCATTGTTTTTGATCAATACATGCCCTTTCTGAATTTGATGCCAACAACACATTTTTAAAAAGTTGGTACAGAGGCATCAAAAGACCGGCAAACTTGTATACTGCTAAAAACACCTTATAACTAATTATGTTAATTGTTAACAGGTCATTTACATGATTGTGTATAAAAAGAACATCCCAGAGTCTTTCAGAAGTTAAGATGGGGAGGGGTTCGCCACTCTCTGAAAGGCTGTGCAGGCAAATAGTGCAAGAATTGAAGAATAATATTTCTCAATGTAAGATAGGAAAGAACTCTTGATAACATCATCAAAGGTGCATAATATTATTTAAAAAAAATCAGAGAATCCAGAGAAATCTCTTTATGCAAAAGACAAGGCCAAAAACCAATATTGGATTGACATGATCTTCAGCCCGTCATGCGACGCTGCATTAAAAACAGATACAATTCTTTATTAGCTATCATTGCATGGGATCAGGAACACTTCTGAAAACAATAGTCTTTGAACACAGTTCATTGCTGTACCTACAAATGCAAGTTAGAACTGTACCATGCAAAGAAGAAGCTATATATTGCCACCTTCTCTGGGCCCAAGCTCATTTAGGGTGGACTGAGGCAAAATGGAAAAAGTGTCAGACAAATGAAAATTTGTAATTCTTTTTGAAAATCATGGACACCAGGTTCTCCAGGCTAAACAGGAGAGGGACCATCCGCCTTGTTATCAGTGTCTGTGATGGTATAGGGGTGCATTAGTGCACATGGCATGGGTGACTTGCACATCTGTGATGGCACCATTAATAACGATATATTCAGGCTTCGGAGCAACATGTGCTGCCATGTGCAGTTACCGAACTGTTGAGCAGCTGAAATCATACATCAGGAAGAATGGGAAAACATTTCATTTTCAAAAGTACAGCAACTGGTCTCCTCACTTTCCAAATGCTTACAGAGTGCTGCAACAGAAGAGGTGATGCAACACTGTGGAAACATGCCTCTGTCCCAACTTTTTTTAAATGTGCTACTGGCATCAAATTTAAAATGGACATATATTTTTCATAAAACAATACAATTTCTCAGCTTCAACATTTGATATGTTGTCTTTGTACTATTTTCAGTTAAATGAGGGATTCAAATTATTTGCCCATCATTGTATTCTCATTTTATTTATATTTTGCACAAGATTCCAACTTTTTTTGGAAATGACATTGTAGATAATTACTTATTTGAGTTTTTAAGTTTACTCAGGACTAGATGCACTTTGAACAACTTCATTAGTGTTGCAACACTTTTCAACCTACATCACATTTTAGTAATGCAATAGAAGCACAGCTGTTATTTGTTTCAAGTGTTTATTTTTTGTGTTTGAATGATGCAGGATAAGATGCCTAACATCGCAGTGCTGGGCTCTGGTGGAGGTTTGAGAGCTATGCTTGGACTGCTGGGATCACTGAATCAGCTGAAAGAAGATGGACTGCTGGACTGCATCATGTACCTGTGTGGAGTTTCAGGATCTACCTGGTACTGATACAGAACATCTCAGATATTTCAGTTACTTATTTAGGTCCAGACATTTCCACTAAATAATACTATATTTTAAAGCATAAATATTTAGGCTTTATGAGCTGGTTCATGTGCTTAACGGTGGGTGGTTGATGAATAGAAACCCAAGATGTGCATTCTGACCAAATTTGATATTGACGTATCTGTAAGAGTTAATGAACAAATATCTGGAGAATCATTAGGAAGAGACTAAATGGGCCTAATATTAAAAAATGGACTAAAAATAAAGCGTGACCTTTTACATTTGTCTATGTTAAAGACAACAAATAAGGCTGCAGTCACAGTTACAGTAGGTGGATGCATGACCTTGAACAATTATAGGCACTGTTTAAACCAGGGGTGTCCAATCTTATCTGCAAAGGGCGAGTATTCCTGCTGGTTTCACTCCAGAGAAGCTGGAGCACACCTGATGCCACTGGTTTAATCAGCTGGTCTCAGTCTTCAAATTACTGATCAGGTGATCTGCTTTGTTGGAATGAAAACCTGCAGCCACACTGGCCCTTTGTGGATTAGATTGGGCATCTTGTTCAACAACCAATTGGCCCCTAACATAGTATTCACCCTGGTATGTGTGAAATTTCTTTCTTGCTCTCTCAGCAGCTGTCACACATACCAGCCTCCTGATGGTTGGTCTGTCTCAGCTTCATTGGTAACGTTACAATATCAAGCAAGTAATATGAAATGTCTTTATTGGCATATAAGCAGCTATTTATCATGATACTTTGTGTGGCAAAGACAGGAAATGTTTTTGCATCACAAAGGAGCATGATAAATAGCTACTTTTGATTCAAAACAGGATGTAGGTCATTCCTAAGTAGTAATTCTTAATGATTATGAATTGTTTTTAATGTAACTGAGTACATGCTTAATATTTTAAATAATATAATTAATGAGTTATGAGTATGAAATAATTAAATGATTATTAAAATACTATAATTAATAATTCATTTTCTTCAATTTAAAATAGTCACTGAATGTCCTTAAGTAAATACTTATTATATCAAACTGTACCCTTTATTAATGCATACTTAACTGTTATATAACTTTTTATAGTCATTACCAGACTTTGACATTTGCAACATTTAGTATTATGTTGCTGTGTATCAAGACTTGTGGCGTTTTTAGAAAGTGTTAAGACCTTACACTGGGACATGAGACAAAATGAGGAAATGCAAACCTCTACTGGCTAATTAGGTGAGCTACAACAATACTTGAGAAGATTTTTACTTTACTCTTTGGGATTATTTCCTATCCCCACCCATCAACACAAAGTAGGCCCATAGCACTGACAGAGGCTAGCATATCTCATATAGAGTTTGCTAGCATTACCAAGCATTGTCATGACTTCAGATTGTAGCCAGGTATGCTGTTTATTAAGTGTATTACCTTACTTTGCTCACTATGTGTAGATAATTATAGATGATGACATTATGCTAATGCTGCTTGAAATCATATATATCAATAGAGCGCATTGAGCGTGATCCTTTTCATAGCTAAAATAACAAATTTGATGTTTGCAGTGGATACCATGCTATTGGCTAGTTTATCTATATCATTATGCTTCATTTATCATCTAATCATGGAAAGCAAATATTCTCCAAATACTGCTTTTTATTGGAATTTGGCCAGAGTTAGCATCAAACTCCCATGTCTCTTTTATCCAGCCGAATTACATATTTATATGATTTTAAAGATTTGGCATTTGGTTCATACAGATTTGCTGCTTGTGAGTAGAGCTGGGCGATATGGCCAAAAACGTTATCACGATAAACAAAACTCATATTGTTCGATATCGATACATATCGCGATAAATGTCAATCATTAGTTCTTTCACGTTTGAAGGCTGATTTTGCTCCTGGGTGGTTAATTGTGGTTTTAAACTATCATTTATGGTCGGATCACGACAAACACTCGGCAAACAGTGGAACATTTTTACAAATCTGTCATGGGACAGTGGGAGAAAGTTTCTGAGCTGTTTTTATCAGCTGGAAAAGCTGTAATTTTTGTAATAGTCATAATTTAAGAAAGAAAACAGATTATTTTTAGCTGTCTGGTGACGAGCGGTCGACTATCCAGTTACAAATGCTAAACAAGTGGCCAACAACAGTGCTAAACTCTTTAGTTTCTCAACAACGTCAACTCGGTTCGGTAGGTCACTGCTGTCACTCCTACCACATCCATGTCAGAGCAGATCACAGTATTCAGACACCAGCTAGCGACGGCTGGGTTTCTCTATACTACCGTAGTAGTTTAAGGGGTGAACCGCAGTATATCTGACGCTTGCTGTGTAAAAGCATTATCTGCAGTGTGAATCTCTCACACCAGACAAACAGAGTCTTAAACTGAAAGCGGTGATTTTGTGTCTTGTTTGATCTACCGTATCATCAATTCACCATGTTGTGCCGGAGCGCAGCTTCAATTAGCCAGCTGCTAAAAACAGCTAGCCTGGAAAGCTAACCTACCACTCTTCCGCTCTCCCGCGCCTCACAGCTTCCTACGTTTACTCTCGTTTAAATCAGGGCTGTAACTCACATGAACCCACTTCTTTCTTTCACTTTCGTTGCTTGAGAATGCACTAATACTCAAATATGACAGTTTGGCCCTGTAACACGGCACTGTAGACGTGATTTAACACCACTAAAGTTGTTAGGATGTAAGGAAAGAGGTGAGTTCGCTGTAGGACAGTACAGTTACGTCACTGATCTTGTCACTCACACTCGGTCACAGGAGAACAGATCGCCGGTCGCTCCACTCAAACAGGGAATGTATAACTCCACGTTTCAGATGTTGCTAAAGTATATTTGGTGACCCTTTTTTACTCGTGGCCCCCTCCCTCTTTAATCAAGTCGAAAAACTCGGAAGTGTGCCCTGTCCTAGCGACAGCAGACTAGTGTCGCTTTCCTTGCAGTAGAAAACACCACCGGGGCTTCCGCTAAAACATGGAGGTGTGAGAATGGTGTATTATATCGAACATTTATCGAACCTGTCTTATCGCTCTATCGAGGAAAAGTTATATCGCGATACTTATCGTTATCGTTTTATTGCCCAGCCCTACTTGTGAGCACTCGAGAGTGCCCTGTTTTTCTTTGTAATAAGTTGTAATGAGGTGAATATCACCTCCTGAATAGGCAACCAATTTCAGCCTCGTCTTTTTAGCTTTGCCACATACACAAGAATTTGAATCAGTTGATGAATATTACATAAAACTCTATGAAGATGGTTCATCCAAAGCATTACTTTACTGGGCTCTCTGAATGATAAAGATTACCTACTTTAATCATTGTGTGAAGTTAGCCACTGAAACAGTTAACTTACATAGAGGGTCGTGGGAAGTGGAGGTGCTGAGGGTGCAGCAGCCCTGCCAGATTTCAGGGTGGGTTAACTGCAACTTCTGAAAATGATTTAAAAAAAAGGGCTGAACTTGAAACTAATTGGAATGTAGTAAAGACCCATATCTGCTTGTTTTAGAGTGGAATTTGCTTTGTAGTTATTTATTTTAAAACCAATGTATTTTCATTACAGTGAACCGAATTGCTTTTCTCACCCTCTGCTGGCTGCTTTGGGGACACTTCACTAAAACACATGCAGGTTGTGTGCGAAAGAGGCAAAGTGTGTACAGAACTGTAGGCAGTTTCTGAGCTCAAAATCAGCCTAATATTGTTTTACTTTACATACATACATTTTTTTATCAACTTTATGTCTCCAGCTTGAGTGTGTGGCTGTGTATGTGAATTTGTTACCGCACCTCACATCAGCAATGTGATTGGACGTCACTCAACTCACTTGCACAAAGTTCATCCAAGAGAGAGAGCAGAGAAATCAGGTTGTGTTTCATGTGTCAGTTATGTGTACACAGTGTCGTCTCTCACCATGATATGGCAGTTCATGACGCACTTCGTTGGATGTAAAGTATCAAAATATTCAGCTAAAAAAAGGCATTTTGCATGGCATTACTGTTCACATCATGTATGTACTGCTTAAAATTGAAACATTTTCTCGCATCCGTGTTTACATACCTTTACAGGAGAAAAGGAGCTGACCAGTTAACTTTGTTACCTTATCCTTAAAGGGTAAAGGGGAAAAAACCTGGTAAAAAGATGGTGTAACATATTAAGTGTTAGCCAATTTTTAATTCTTTTTTTCATATGTTACCTGTCCAACACCTCAGTAGTGGTAAAATGTGTGAGGGACAATAGAAACTCATTTTTTCCATCTTACCTTCAGGACTTCCATAAATTTGATTCCCTTTGCATGTGATTATCTCGTCTTTGTGAAGTGCTTCCAAAAGTGCCTCCGATGTTGACTCTTGTTTTAGCTAGTGTTTTTTTTTTTTTTACAGTTCTAAAACCAGCCAATGTAGTTTGCTAACTGGATTCTGCCGTGTTTTCTGAGCTGAGCAAACTGAAATGGGGGTGGAGTAAGGTGGGGTAGGGGAGGGTCTTACAAAATGACTGACAGGAAGTCTAAACACAGACAAGCCCTCCGCTCTGCCCTGCAGTTTTCCAAACAGGGTTTGTCAGGCACATAGTAAACTTGCGCTGATGTCATTTCTAAATCATATAACTTATGTTCTACAAGTTTACTAGGTTTTTTGTACTAGTAGTAAAAGCAATACATCGATGAATGCACTTTAATCACAAAAATAACACAAAACATTTTCCCCATCTGTTCTCTGAAGGTGCATGGCATCATTATATAAAGAGTTAGACTGGTCCACCAAACTGGAGACTGTGAAAGAAAACATTGTCCAAAGGCTTGCTGAAGGCAGTGTCAGTTGGTGGAAGATGGGTCAAAAACTGACAAAATACTATTCAGAAAAAGACAACTTCAGCCTGACAGATGTGTGGTCAGCGCTGATTGTGTCTCACATGGTGAAAGAGGTAAGAATAAATCATAACTACTCATATTTTCACACAAATCCACACAAATGCTGGTTCAATTCAAATTGATGTGATATTTAAAGAGTTCCATTTTTCACTTCTGGCATAAACCCAGAGCTGGTCCTGACCTCCCTGAGGCTCTAATCAAGATTCTGTGATGGCCTCCTGCCATGTAAACCTTTTGCAATTGCTAAACAGTGACACTTCACACCCCAGTGCTCCCACTACAGTTCTCCCTCCTTTAAAACAGTTTGCTCCATCTGTCAGTCTAAGAATAAGTAGATCTGTAGCGCTATTATCAGTTTTATCAGCTACATGTGCCCATTCATGCCCCAAATATAAAATACTCTTTATACTGTTGCATGGCCGAATACTTGATGGTTATTATTTAGAGAGCTGCATCTAGTTAAGCAACATTGTAAATTCAGTATTTAATTAACAGTCAATGTCACCCCATTGCTTTCCATTTTGCTTTAGTTGTAACTATACCTTGACTGAGAGACTAAATAATCATTGTCCTGTTTCAACACAATGTCCGCCTATGAGGAGTGTTTCATTTTGCCCATATACTGGACTGGTTTGGGCTCCACAGAGGCTGCTGCTGCAAAGCGCATGCACACACATATGAACACATGTTTATGCGCAACACAGTTATCTTTTCTGAGCTGCAGTTTCTAAATACTGTTGCCACTGTGTTCATCAGATGTAATAAATAACTGTATTTCACTCTTACTTTTTTGTTAATTGCTGACATTAAATGTGGAGAGAAGAGAACACAAGAGAGACCAGAGGGGGAGGCGGGGCCTTTGTGTAAATTGCGGGGCCCTATGCTTTCACTTAGGACCAGCTCCAGCCTTTTGAGGGCCCTCAGAAGGATTTTTTGGGCCCCCACATTACAAGTTGATTAGTGGCAAACTAATAACAGCGACTACCTAAATTATGCACATTTATAAGTGTGTAATAAGAATTTGTGTATTGCTGATGACGGCCGTACTACTCTGAGAACACCCGATCTCGTCTGATCTGGGAAGCTAAACAAGGTCGGAATGGTTAGTACTTGGATGGGAGACCACCTGGAAATATCAGGTGCTGTTTTTAATTTGGACTGGGGCAGTCATGGGCTGGAGGTTAGGGAACCAGCCTTGTGACGCTTGCGGAAGGTCGCTGGTTCGATCTCCTGAGCCGACAGTATGTGACTGAAGTGCCCTTGAGCAAAGCACCTAACCCCCAACTGCTCCTGTGGATAGGACTGCCCACCGCTCCGAGCAAGTGTGCTCACTGCCCCCTAGTGTGTGTGCATTCACTAATGTGTATGTGGTGTTTCACTGCACGGATGGGTTAAAATGCAGAGGTGAATACTGCATTTCATTATTAGGTAAAGCCAGCACTGCTATTTTTATAGAAAACTTTTCAGTCTGGCGGAAAGACTGAAGTGCTACAGTAAATACAGTTTTTAAGTAAAAAGGAATTACTCAGATTTGTTTGCTAGAATGTAGTTTAGATCTCAAGTATGCTACCTAGCACATTACCTAATCTAAATTTAGGTTCTGTAAATTACAGTTCACACTTCTTTAAATTAAGATGAAACTTGAGCTGGATTAGCTATTACACTAGTTAGCACACCTGCTATACACACTACTAGCATGCAATTTCAAACTGGTTTGCTTCTTTCCTTTAAACACAGCATTTAGTGTGTAGCATTTCAGTTCTGTTCATTAAACTGATGTTTTATTATTATTATCTGTTTTATTAATAATGAAAGGCTAGCTTTCTGAAGCTGTAGTAGGGGTTTCTTTTTTGCGCTGAAATGCCTGCAGTTAATATTCAGACTAAACTAAAATTCTCTACTGAAGACTCAAAACTCAACTCACACCCCAGAGATTCAAGTCATAAACATGAACGACATCCTGTGGTAAGAACATACTTCCAGAAAATGTATCAACTTAATTTAACAGTATTTTTTTTCTGTGGAAAAAAATAATTCCGTAGAAAAAATTTTAGAATATAAATGATTGGTTTCTTACATGTGTGGGGACATGACACAGAAATCTTTTCATGGCAGCTCCTGAAGAACTGGCACACTGTTTAATCTTGAAATTGTCATAATCTCAATACATGAAAAGTGATAGACTGATCTCAATATATTTGCCATTTCAGTCTTTAGTGAAATTACATGTCGTGAACGTTCTGCAGTACAAATCTAACAATACTTTAGTACTAATGTATGTTAGAAGATGTACATGAATACAAATACATATACAGTGGGACATCTAAGAACACATTGAAAATATGGAATTTTTTCAAAAAACAGTTTTAAAATTTTGAAAAATTTAAAACAAAGAAAAGTTAAACTAAGAAAAAATGAAGAAGAAATATGCAAGATTCTGCACTAGTATTAGGTCACTGTTCAAATTTAAGCAAATTTGTGACATTAAGGCTTTTTTTAGTCTTGTCCCCTCTTGCTCAGACGACTCTCAGGTGGATTTAATCTCCTCATCAGAGGCTTTTGCACAAACTTGTGAAGTTCATGCCAGCTTGAGTACATGCTGTGATTAAAGCTAAAGGGGGACTAAATATTAAATACTTAGAAATTGTGAAATTCATGTTAAAATGTCAAATATTGTACTTCACACTCAAGTTGTTGTGCTGATTATGTAATTTCTAATGAAAAAATCTAAATTGCATTACAATAGAAAACAATAAAAAACAAATCTATGTATCCACTGTAACAGTCTGATTTTTCTGCATTTCACAGATTGATGAACACAAAATCACAGAGCAGAGGGGCAACTACACCAATGACCCGTATCCCATTTACACTGTGATTGACAAGCAGTGTAAACATGACCAACTGAATGCAGGTAATTTATTGTGTGTGTGCGTGTGTGTGTGTGTGTGTGTGTGTGTGTGTGTGTGCGGCAAAATGGAAATCTTACAGCAATATTTTTTTTTATAGATCCTTGGTTTGAGATCACTCCAGATGAGTCAGGTTATTCTCTCTCTGGAGCCTTTGTGGATTCCTCCTGTTGGGGAAGTGAGTTTAAGAAAGGAAAGAAAATGAAAGATCAGCCTGAGACTGACATGCTGTACCTACAAGGTAACACAACCCATGATAAAAACATATCAGAATGAATAGGTCACCACAAATCTAGAACACTTGTTCAACAACAATACATTAAGAGTTTTCAAGAATTAGTTTAACTTTAGCACTGAGGAAAAAAAGTATTTCAAATATCATCAGTTAACTAAAAGCCAAACTTGACATAACTGAAAATGATCTCAACCCACATCTGACAATTGGTATTATACACAAAAATATTAGCCACAAAAACTCCTCTCCAAGCTGTTTGCACTACTATGCAGCCTAAATACAACTATCCCTTGTTCTGATTAATACATTTGGATTTTTAATAACATTATAAAAAAATCTGAATATAAACACTTTTAATTTTTTTTTTATAGATTTGTTTCCAGAATGTTGTAATTGTGGATACAAATCTGTACAAATACTTTCACAATAAGTATCAAGTAAGGGGGTTTTCCCATTGTCACAACCTTTGTTTTCTTCATTGTGGGCTGAAACCTTCTCTCTCTCTGTTCTGTAACTTTTCTTATGAGGGCCTTCAGGTCTTCCTGATTTTCTACTATAAGTCTCCATACCAAAGGTCATTGACATTTTGGTATTTGGTACTTTAAAGACAGGTAATAAGTGGGTAATAATATGATAATATTATGGTAAAATGCCGTAATAATAATATACTAGGAAAATATTGGTCACAAGCTGCACTACCCTAAATATGACATATGATAATTTTCTATTCATTAATAACTAATATGTTAAGATGAAGAAAATATGTTGTATAAGGATATATGTGGTGTGGTTTGAGTTTTTAACTAATTTCTTAACCTTTTGCCTTTTGGTTCATATGCATGTTTAGCCCCTTTTTAGGGGTGCTCAAGTCCCAGCACCCTTAAAAATAAGAGTAATACGTTTGTCTCTGATAAGCAAATGTTATGATCCACTTTCTGTCCGCTACTCTTCCCCTGCCCTGCTCTCCCAGAAGCACGCATGCACAGACACTCAGACACAAACACACACACACACACACACACACACACACACACACACACACACACAAGCGTGCACACTAGAGCCAGTAGGCCTATGTGTTGATATTAAAGCCAAGGTGCTATACTAGTACTGTCTGTGTGCTTATCAGCTAATTAATGTTATAGAATGATGAGACAAAAAACTGGGGGGGCTGGTGATGTTGCATTTTTCAGCCCTGATTCTGTGTGTGATTCAGTATGTTTACCTCATCTGCTGCTGGGTAACTACACTCGCCTGTAGGTGGGCCTACATGTTAAAGTAATAGAACAAGCATGGATGATATAATGCTGACTAATTCTTTATATTATTCAATTTTGCTGTAATCGTTACTAAAGAAATTCTATTGCATCAAAAGGAAAATGATCATTTTATTTACGAGTAATTTGAGTTTGTAACATTATTTACCATTTCATACTCAACTAGTTACTGTTACAATTATGAACTTATTATTTAGTTACAACTAGAAAATGAACATGTCATTTAAGGTCAGTGGAACTTGTTACCATTAATAAACAGGTTTATTGCTGCTTTGTTACTACTACGATTGCTGTTAGTGTTACCGTACTGTTACTGTTACAATGACTTATTAATTAGTGAAAACTCCTCAATCATCTTCTTCCAGTTCTGCTTATCTTACTAAATATTCAATATGCAGATTGAACAAGTGTTTCTAACTAGTTTGCCGTCTGAGTGTCATGACGGAATGACTGTCATGACTGAATATTTCAGTTGCAATGTGACTGAATATATGTGAGGCACTGTTAACCCTTTGGAGCCCTTTGGAGTTGAAAAGCATTAAAAATAATATGACAGCAATGTTGACACATTTTATGCTATTCTGTGTATGACTGGACTTATTATTAACAAAGTACTGAACAACAGATCATCAAAATCGAAATTCTTGTGAACGACAGACACATTGGCATGCTCGGGTGACTTACATCGTTGAGAGTCAGGGAGTGAGGTGCTCTTGGTAACAAATTTGGATTCACCAGAACTGAAAGTTCACTTCACACGAAAGCTCTTTTACATATTTCACCTAAAAATAAAAATTGCCTTTAATTCCTGGCAAATCCATTTAAGAATGTTAAAATGTTAAAAGGCTGGGACAAATCACATTGCCTTCAAGTAAACTTTTAGTACTGGCACATCAGAATAAACATTCAATAACAAGGAAAAACAAGAAACAAGAAAAAAAGTGCTAAAATGCGGTGTGCATGTGCTGCTGCAAGTCATCCTGAAATACTCATTTAGAAGTCAGAGATGTGGGGACCAATTTTCACAAGTTTTTCAGACCATGTCGTAAGTCAAGTCATAGTTATACAGTGTCTGTTATACAGTAATCCAAGTCTGTTCATATTTTCTCATTTTTTTTCAAAATTTGTTTATAATTTGCACCTGTCACATTTATTTATTTATTTATTTATTTATTTATGAATGAAAAAAGTGTATTAAAATGTCTAGTAGTGTGTTCTCTGTAGAGGAAACTTAACAGAGCATGTCATTGGACCAGGGGTGCCCAGACTTTTGCTTAATCTGTACCTTGACAGAGGAGTCATCAAAGATTGAACTGAGAACATTTGGACTCTGGGCTTATATAATTGGTGTTGTGACCATCTAAGAGTGTAGTCAGTGGTGAAGAATGTTCAAGACCATGTTTAATCAAGTTTTCTCAGTGCTGTTATTTTACTTTTTTATCTGTTTGGAATTTATACAGGTCTGTGTGGCAGTGCCATCGCAGATATGGAAGAGAACCTTAAGTACCTCTATGAGGCACTAAAACACCTGATTACAGGTATGAACCTCTTTCTGTTTAACAATCTTCTCATTTATTCCCCTTTTACTGAGTCTAAATCTTTTGGTTAAGAGTACAAAATCAGGTTGTGTTGTGCAAAGTTGGAACAAAAAATTTGTTTTTGCATTTTTTTCCGTAACTAGACAAAATAGGAAGCACAGAAAAGACTCGTACACCACTAACACCAGATGTGAAGAACGGTTGCCAAGTGCTCTTAACACTTGTGGAACTGAACCTTTGTGTGTTAAAAAAGGAGGATCCTGCAGTTTACCTCCAAACCTTGCAGGACCTACTGAAAGGTTGTATTCACTAACACACACATGATGGTCTAACTACTTATTCTCTTATCACCAGTTTGAACCACTTACCCTTTTGATCTTTCATTCAAAATATTAACAAAAGTCTAACCTTTATTTAAGGTACAATGATTGAAAGAAAAAAAATAACTAAATCTTGTCATGAAATAAATATTTTTCTTAAATCTAAATGTGTCACAATTTTTGGCACCCCTAGAAATTCTTAAGAGTGAAATCGTAATACATTCCCATTCATATTTTCCATTCAAATTTTATGTTAAAGTTCACCTGAGTGATTAGGGACACAGAAATGATCAGTCATGACTCCTTGTTTCACTGAGGAATACATATGAGATGAAACACAGGCCAAATTCCCTCAGTCATCCATTGTTATGAAAAAGGCCAGAGAATACAGCAAAGATGTAAAACAAAAGGTTGCTGAGCTGCACAAATCAAGAAATGAGAAAATAGCTAAACAACTAGTAATCCACTATTTCCACTATCAAGATATAAATGAAGAAGTTTAAGACAACTGAAAATGTAAAGAATCTGTCAGGAACAGGATGTATGCCTATACTGACCCCACGCACAGTGAGGAGGATGGTTCAAGTGGATGAAGAATCTTGAAGGATCAAAGATGAGGAATTGCAATAATTGCTGAGGTCTTGGGGTCAGAACATCTCCCAAACCACATTCATAAAACACATATATAACCACAATATGGTGATGGATCTGTGATACCGTAGGGCTATTTCTCTTCCAAAGGCCCTGGACAGTTTATTTGGATACATAGAATCACAGACTCAAGGAAATACCAGCAGAAATAAAATCAAAACCTGGCTGCCTCTGGTGGGCCAGAGTTTGGATCTTCCAACAGGATCAATCATTGTACTTCAAATAAGATTTATGTTAATATTTTGTGAATGTTTTCTCCATGTTTACCAGGGGAGCCAATACTTGTGGAGAGCACTTTATATATAAATAAATATACATAAGAGCACTGAGCAGCTTTCTGTAGTGCTTAACAAGGTTGTTGAACACTTGTTTAGAGATCTTGGACCACCTGATTTTTGGGCTAAACTCTCCTAGTATTTTGTGAAATTCATAATGCCACTGATTTTCACAAAAGACCCTTGAACACTAGTAGAAAAACAGCCCCAAAGCATCAATGATCCACCACCATATTTGACAGTGTGTAACAGTGACAGATGGGAACAGATGCTTGCAGACGAGGCTGGAGTTAAGAACTTTAATATGATCCAAAAGTACAGTCGAAAAACGGAAGCAAGAAGTTGAAAACCAGAAATACAAAACAAAGCAAAGGGGCAAGGCAAAAATCAAGGTTGAGAACGAGAAACAGGTCATGCACAAAAAAGGACAAACAGACATCAGAGAAACGCTCAGTATGCTCAACATGGAGACAATACTGCGCAATGAGTCTTTGAAAACAGGCAGTTTATACACATGGGGAAACAGATGTGTTTAATCAGAAGTCCGGTGATGCAGAGCGTTGATAGGTGAATTGGTTGGAGTCCTGGGTCATGTGACAAAGTGAGGGTTTCTGGGAATTGTAGTCTGAGATGGCCATATCAGCTGTAGTTTCAGCCGGGCCAGACGGAGACGTGTCACAGTGGGTTTCAGAAGCTTTTTTTTTATCTCATCTGACCACATCACACCATTGCATTTGTCAATGACATTTTGCAAAAACAAATGTGTCTAGAAAGGCTAATCTGTGCAGTTCTACAACCTCCTGCCTCATTTGAGAGGACAGCTTTCTGGTTCAACCCATATTGATAGATGACAAAGGGATTTTAATTGGGTGCAACCTCGTATTTATACCCCAGGGAAACTGGAAATGGTCACAGACAACAATGAAGTTCCTGGAAACCAGGAGCAATAAAAAGAAAGACTGTTTTTCCCAAAGATGAGATTTTCTTTGGTTTTGTTTAAAATACTTTTACTAAAAAGACTACACTATTCTTATAAACCAACACTTTTGTAGGAATGAATTCTTTTGGATAAATGGTAAGGTATTTCTCCAAAAATTTTTAAGGAAAATTTGAATCATGTGAGGGGTGCCAATAATTCTGGAGTTTGTTGTATATGTTTGTGTGTGTCTCTCTTTATATAAATATGATCAAGCAGGTCAGAGGACTTTACGGCTAGGGAAGCTGAAGACATCAGAAGGGACGATCTCGAAGACAGACTTGAAGGATTTAAACCTGCATGTATGCAATTCTGTCAGTGTCATATTTTCGATGCAGAGACTTGGGGATCGTGAGTAGAACCCTTATACCAATGCATTTTTTAAATATTACACCTCAGACTATTCTGTTGATTAATTTATACTAACTTACAAACCTAATCTTAGCTCCGCATGTGCATTTCCCTGAAACAGATTTATACACTTCATTGCATTTTTTTTGCATATTTTCTTTTTCCAACTACAATAGTGTTTCAGTTAATTAGATCATCCTGTAATGTTGTAATAAAAAAGACATTCCGTTAGTATCAGTTTTGTAGGTGTAATTGCATGTCACTTGTGTAATGTTTGTATGTGATTGTTAATGCAATGATCTAAGCATTTGCACCTCAACCTAGATTTAGACTTGATTTTAGTCGAGATCATTTTCTTTGTGAATCATAACAAAATCATAACCTTCATGACATCTGTAAGCGCATATTTCAAGTGTATCAAGTGTGCAGGAAAACTATTATAATGAAGTGCTGTAATAACAATTTAGTAATACAATATTGTACTGTAATCTGATAAAACAGCTTTTACACATTTTCAGAAGTCTACTGGTAACTGTACTGAGAGTAATTCACTACAAACATCTCAGCTGTGGGAAGCTTTTCAGTTATTATAGTCAAAAGGCAGAATATATTAGAAATCTGGAGTCAAACATATTTTGTTTTATTTAACCTTATTTTGTCAGGAATTTTGAATGCTATCGTGAAAGCCATAGAGAAAATGACACACTGGATCTGGGGTACGACTTATGACTACCTCTACAAAATGAAAGGTGAGAAACTATGTTAACTACAATAAAGGGTTATACACAACCAAAAAAGTAAAAAAAGTGTAAAAAAAAAAAACAAAAATCAAAATATATATTATACACATATTTTTCAAAAAACAATACAATTTCTCAGTTTCAACATTTCATATGTACCGTTTTCAATTAAATACAGGGTTTAAATTATTTGCACATCATTGAATTCTGTTTTTATTTACATTTTGCACAGCGTCCCAACTTTTTTGGAAACTGGGTTGTAGAAACAGAGGTACACAGGGGACAATAAGGAGGGAGGTTTGGCACATACAAGAAGGATACTGCACATACTAGACAAGTACGCCAAACAAGAAGTAACAACAAGTAAAGAAGTGGCACCAAACAGTACAGGTGCCTGGCAGTGAGGAATTAGGTAGATGGCAGTAATAACATTGCATTATGAATATACAGTGTAGCCAGATGTAGTACTATGTGCAGAAATAATACAATATAAAACTCTACTTGTGGCTTAATACTGTATACAGTAAACAATTGAATAAGACGAGATGCAATATACAGGTGCATCTAAAAAAATTGGAATATTAAACTGGAATGAATTGTATATTTATTACACATAAAATAACATATTTCAAGCATTTTTGTTTTAATGTTGATCAGTATGGCTCACAGCTCATGAAAATCAGAAATCCAGTATCTCAAATTATTATAATATTTCATTGAGATTTGGAATAAATTACTATTCAAGCAATATAAATACTGTGTATGTTTCAGTCTTGTTTAGCACACACAACCACAAACATGGGGAAGACTGTTGACAGTTTTCCAGAAGATGATCATCAAGATCCTCCACAAGGAGGAGAAGCCATGGAAGGTCATTGCTGAAATGGCTGGCTATTCGCAGAGTGTTGTTTCAAAGCATATTAATGGAAAGTTCACTGGAAGGAGAAATGTGGTAGACAAAGGTGCATGAGTAACAGGGCCGACCACAGCCTTGAGATAATTGTCAAAAAATAGCTGATTCGCAAACTTGGGAGGGCTTCACAAGGAGTGGACTGAGGCTGATGTCAGCGCATCAAGAGTCACCATACACAGATGTCTCCAGGAAAGGGGTTACAACTGCTGCATTCCTAATATCAAGCCCCTCCTGAAACAGAGACAATATCAGAAGCATATTACTCAGGCTAAGGACAAAAAGAACTGAACTGTTGCTCAGTGGTTCAAAGTCCTTTTTTCCGATGAAAGTAAGTTTACATTTTCTTTAGAAATCGAGGTCCTAGAGTCTGGAGGAAGAGTGCAGAGGCACAGAATCCAAGGTATTTGAAGTCCAATGTGAAGCTTCTGCAGTCTGTGGTGTTGGTCCACTGTATTTTATCAAGTCCAAAATCAACACAGCCATCTACTAGGGGTTTTTAGAGCACGTCATGCTTCTATCTGCTGTCAAGCTTTATGGAGATGCTGATTTCCTTTTCCAGCAGGACTCAGCACCTGCCCACAGTGCCAAAACTACTACCAAATGGTTTGCTGACCATGATATCACTGTGTTTGACTGGCCAGCCAACTCTCTGGAACTGAACCCTAGTATTGTCAGGAGGAAGAAGTTGGACGTTTCTGTATTGTAAATCCTGTTCTGCTTGATCTTATGAAAGTTGAATGTTTTAATAATTTGAGATACTGGATTTGCGATTTTAATAAGATATAAGCCATACTGATCAAAATGAAAACAACATACTTGAAACTTGTCACTTTACGTGTAATGATTATAAGATATGAGAGTTTACCATTTTTTAAGTAAATTATGAACAAAATGAAATTTTTCAATATTTAAATGAACAATATTTTAATTTTTTGAGATACAGTTAATCAGTGTTAGCTGATTGGTATCTGGCCTGGTATGCCTTGGGGAAAGAAGCTGTTCCTGAGGTGGGTGGTGTATTCAGTGATGATTCGGACGTGTTTACTCGAGGGAAGATGGAATAATGGGGCGTGAATTGGGTGGAAGGCATCTGAGATGATAAACTGAGCCCTCACCCAACACTGGGGTGTATAAATGTCCAGAACTTGTGGAAGGTCAGTGTCTATGATTCTGGAAGCAGTTCTGACAGTTTCTTGTAGGAGTCTGAGATCCTGGGCAGTCAAGAAAAGAGGAGTGGAAAATCATAATAATTAATAGATTAACAGAATAATCTAATGAACCCATATGACAGCTTTAATATAATTAAGATGTATTGCTTGACTGTGTCTACAGTGGAAGGTGTCCATCCCAGTGTCCTTCACTCAGAGAAGAGAGAATATGAAGATGCTGGACTGTTACTCAACTCACCCTATTTCTCAGTGCTGAGAAAAGAACGCGACATCGACCTCATCATTTCCCTTGACTACAGTTCAGGAAATCCCTTTGAGGTACGTTAAACACACACACACACACACACGCACACACACACACACACACGCACACACACACACACACACACACACACACACACACACACACAGTGAAAGCATAATTTTGTGTAATCTTGGTCATTTAGCATTGGGAATGTGATGCCATGACACAGTGTTGTATGAGTGATCTGCCCTGTGGAAGGGTTAGTTGGTTTATGCTGGTTCAGAATAGTTTAACGAATCTTTCTTTCTTACCTGTGTTCCTTGATTTTGGCTGAACTGCAGCCTTCACACTTACTAAATATATTTGCAGAGCTGACTAGAATGAGAATATACATAACTATCATATCAAACATCAGAGCAAAATCAAAGAAAGCAGAGATAAAATTCGGAGTGAGATATTAACCAGTGGTGTAAAAATTAAGAGCAAGAGTACTGTTACTGTAGTGATGATTTAAAAAAGTATTAGTAGAGAAAATTACTCAGGGAAGAGTCAATAGGTAGTTTATTGGAAAACTACTAGAGTAATTGAGTTCGTTTTTTGTTTATCTGCCATCACAAACTGAAAATATTTCTTTTTTGCGATCAACTTTTTTTGCGATCAACTTTCAACAGATACGTAGCTTACATTGTTATTCAGTGTAAACCAACATGAATAAGTACAACAAACTGAAAACATTTCTGAGTTGACTTGGGTACATCACTGACAAATTGTCTAGGGCCTAACTTATTTATTCTAGTCCTGACAGTAACCAGGGCACATTCTCCCTCCATGTTGCGATTTAGCGTGAAGCATGAGCCTAAGTAAAAGTGTATGCCTAAATCTAGTTTGAAACCCCCACCAAAGGCCAAGTCACCTGCTGCTGAGTCTCTAAGTCACCTGGAAAGTGTTGGGGCCAGTTCAAGCCTTGCGTCCGTGGTCAACCAGTTCAAGACGTGTCCATGATAGCATTCAGGTTTTATTAGTCAATTGAATAGGTGTTCTGGAAAAAAATCCAAAATATATGCAATAGGAGTCCACAAAAGGGGAATGAGAGCATAAGAGAGAGAAAGAGAGACATGTCCGTGGGTCCACCGCTCACCGTTCAAACAAAAAACAGTTTTCCGCTGTTCCTTCCTTCTGGCTGAGCCTCCTTAACAATTAATAAAGGCATACATGAAGTGGTTGGTAATTTTTTTTTTTTACTTTAGCAATGATACATTAGACGTTTTAATAGTGACCACTGAGGATGAATTAATCTTACAGTTTAGCAGTTTGTAATGTGCACATCTTGAGCTTATCACTGCCTTTTCTACCTGGCTAGGTTTCTTTATATTTGAATAAAGAAATATAGTCTTTGTTATGAGTCTATTCGTCAATACTGTAGCCAAATTGTAAACTTTGTTCTTCAACAGAGAGTTCTTCCCAACTTTCTTACTTTTACTTAAGTAATAATTAAAACGACTACTTTTACTTCTACTTGAGTAATTATTATTTTAAAGTAGCAGTTCTTTGAATGTACTTTGAATTTGAATAACAGATATTTAAAAGGTGTGGATTTGTAAAAGCAGGGTCTGATACTTTGACAGAGTTGAGGATGCCTATTTCCAAAGCCAAGTATAAAATGTCAACCTGAGTTAAAGAAAAAAGTTCCATCGTCCAAATATATAAATTGGAAAAAACAGGTTCTTTGCTTGTTGTGCCGTTATCCTTTGACTTTCGCCTTTAAGTTTGCTGCTGTTTTCTATCTTCATGCACATTTCAGCTGTCCAATTTTAATTTGTCATTTTTAGTGACACTTTATTTTTAGTGGTCCTTTTTAGATGAAACAAACACTCAGTGGATTCTCAGTTACATGCCAAAAACATATGAGGGTTAGGATTAGGTTTTGGGTTGAGGTTAAGGCTAGGGTTAGGATTAGGGCCAGGGTTAGTATTAGGTTTTCATTAAGGTTGGGTAAGGTTAGGTTTTGGGTAATGGAAGTAACATATTAAAAATACATCTGCTTAATGTAAGTAATGTATCAACAGAACATCTACAAGATCTTTACTTCATAGCATTCAAATGCTTCACTACTCCTACTTCACTGATATGTTGTTGATGTGTTACTGATAATCTGTTTAATAATCATCTACAAAGGACCACTCTAAATAAAGTATTACCAAAGTGTGTTACTGCTGTGAACATTTTAAAAATTAAAGTATTGAAGTGCTTAAAAATGCTTTATTAATAACGAACTCAATTAAGAGTAAAATCAATATAATTTCATTCTACTCAAAGAAGCTTCATTACAATGAAAAATGTACAGAGGTATTGTAACGAGAGGAAATGTGAAATGTGAGGAAATGAGGAAATGTGAGGAAATGAGGAAATGTGCTGTTTTTCAAATGATAGATTTGAGGTGAAGCAAGATATTCTGTAACTTCACAAAGATGTAGCTAGCTAATTCACTGACATAGATGAGGAAATATTTTAGTGTTTACTATAAAATTATTTACTGTGTGTCATTTTGTCCTTGGACAGTGGTGTGCTAAGGGTATATGTTTCAATTCGATTATTTCTAGCTGTCTGGTGACGAGTGGTAGGCTATCCCATTACAAATGCTAAACAAGTGGCCAACAACAGTGCTAAACTGTTTAGTTTTTCAGCAACGTCAGCTTAGTACGAACAGCAAACATTAGCTGGTTCAGTACGTCAGTGATGGATCACACCGCTCGGAAGTGCACCCTCACCTGGCGACAGCAGAGTAATGTTGCTTTCCTTTCAGTAGAAAATGCCACCAGGGCTTTCGCTAGAATGTGGAAGTGTGAGAATGGTGTATTATATCGCAATAATTATTGTTATCATTTTATCACCTAGGCCTAGATTCAATTTGTCTGTTAACTGTCAAGTTGAGGAGATGTGTTATAGAACTTACTGAGGTGAAATACTCACAGTGTAGGTCTATCTTTCCTTAGCACTTGTGACTGTTGTTGATTGTTCAATCATCTTCAAAGGCAAAGTCTATGAATAATAAGCCTTATTGTGTAATAATCCTCTGATTTTAAGGGGTTAAGCTACATACCAGTACTAAGATTACAGTGGGTAATTAAGCAAGCTGTCAGTAAAAGAGTTAATGAACAATGCAGAGAAAAAACAAAAAACCAAAAACAAAAGAAAAACCAAATTGGTCACTTGCTGACAACAGTAAAAATAGTTTTAGGGCAGTTCAACCTAAAATTGTTGTTCATGTAGAATTAAGCACTCATTTTATTAAACTAAAATAAATACTTTGAATAAAACAATGCAAAGCAAAATTTTATTTTAGGTGAACAAAAGAAATATTTTACATCAGTTCAGTCCCGACCAACACTTCACATCAATTTCTGTCATTGAAACTTTTTAAAGTAAACAAGTCATTCCTGGGTTGACCAGCAAAAACATGTTCTTGTTTTCATACGATTATATCAGAGTGTGTTTGTAGGAGTTAGAAGTAAAAAGAGAATTGCTTTTTTTCTTTTTTGCAGACGGTGCTTCGTGCTGCTGAAATGTGCAAAGCCCTTCACATTCCTTTCCCTGAAGTTTCTCTACCTGCTGAAGATACAGAAACACAGGACTTTTATGTGTTTAGAGGATACAGCAAAGCTCCAACTGTGATCCACATGCCTCTTTTCAATGCTGTTAACTGCAAAGGTAACTACAGCAAACTAAAACATTCTTGTATATTACTGGTTTCACTGTAATGTTAGTTTACTGTACTGTATAGATTGTGAAGTCTCCGAAATGCAGCAGTGCTCTAAACAGTAAATGTCTGTTTCCTCAGGAGAAATTGAGAAGTGGGAGAAAATATATCAGACATTTAACATGAGCTACGATCATAAAAGGATCACAGATCTTCTGGAGAAAGCAGGATTGAACATCAAAAACAACAAAGACAAACTGCTCAAGGAGATTCAAAATGTCATAGACGGGAAGAACACTTCCAAGCTTGGATAAATCTAATCAGTAAAGAAAAATCACACATCAAAAACATCTAAATCCTTCAAAAATGATCCAAATATCAGTCTTTATTTAGTCAGTAAGCTCTTTTCATGTATTCATGTAAAGAATATCAGCTTTGGGTGCTTTTGTCTATTGTTTTGACTGTCTCACTGGGATTGAAATCTGAAAAATCAAAAGTGTGGAATGTGTCTTTCTTGTTTGCCTTTGAGATGTTTAAAAATTGGAATTTATAAACAAACAAAAATGACTAAAAATAACTCAAAATAATTTTATATTGAGCAAAAAGAGTTTGTTTTTCTTTCTCAAGTTTCTTTTTTTTTCTCAATATCTGAGTGTTCTTTGTCTTTACATAAGGTGAGTACACCATATGTCTGGGGTTGTGTTTGAATTGACTTTTCACATTTACTTTATGCCTGGCTTATATCTGCTTCACAATTGTTCTTGACAGGTACTGTACAACATTTAAAATCTATTATTAAAAATCTGTTAGAAAGCAACAGTAAAGTCTTTACTAAATGCATAATGTTCATTAGAAAGTAATGTGAATTCATATGGAGTCTTGTTAAAAGATAATCCATTACCTTCCATCCACATCAATTTACTAAAAATATGATCCACTTTACAATAAGTAACACAAAATGATCTTCTAATAAGCATCAGTTAAGCAGTGTTAACATGGTACTAAATGGTGATGAAACCAGCTTATTGAGTTCACATTGTTCATTGTTCTATTCAGACTGTTTGAATTATTGTAATGCATTGTTACTGTTGTCTTTTCCAATAAACTCGTCCAGTCCTTGTACCTGACCTCTGTGCAATTAGCATTCACTGTTATAAAACACAGTTACTTCCCAAAACACTTGACGATAACTAGCTGTGGTAGAACACTGGATGGTTGGTGAATGAAAAGAAAACGGGGGATAACAGTGACAAACTGCGCTCCAAGGCCTCTCTATCTCTTGGTAATGACACTGTAACTATGGCAACAAATTCTGACAATCTTCATTTAAATTGATTCAAATTCAATTGTGGCTGCACAATTACACAAGTCCTTCCCCAGTACAGGAGGCACAAACAGTATGTATCACATAGCACACATGTGCACTAATATTTAGTTACTTTGCTCTAATTATTAAAGATAATGTTGGAGAAGAAGTTTTCTGCACAATGCACCTTTCAGAGAAATGAACAGCACTAGAATCCATTCATTCTATCGTGTGGTAATGTGTACGTGAATGCCCTCACATGGATGGTGCTGCTTTGAGATAATAAATGATGAAGGTTCAATCCTGTGCCAGAAATTCCAGAGTGACCCACCCCTATCAAACCATACTACAACATTACAATAGCATCCCAGTGGTGTGTATTATTAAACTGTGTTCCACACTCTCATTAGTCTCATCACAATAAACCTACATCCTCTGAAGCCAGAAAAAAGCAGCTCTGTCACACTAATTGAACCAGCCACCAGCGCCACACATCATATAAGAAGGCTCTTGTGCTGCTTGGTGGAAAATACTGTAGTCTCTCAATAAAAGAGTCATTTACCCAAATTAACCCAAAGCTGTGTTTGAAATAGCTTACTATGTACTGCTCACACACTGTAAATACTTAAAGTACATACTTTAGTATACTGAACGAGTAATGCAAATGCATAAGAAGGATTCAGCAAATATAATTCACTGTATTTGTAAATATACTAATTATATAATGGAATTATACTAATTATGTGCGTGAACAGCAGTAAAGATTTAGTATTACAAGCATGTATTTAGCACAGTTTTAATTTATTTTTAGAGTGCAGCACAGACTAGTATACTTAAATTATATCATAAGAGTGGCAAAAATAACACATGACCAGTATACTTAGTATTGCTAAAGCACGAGTGATGCAGTGGTGCAGTGGGTAGCAGCAAGAAGGGCCTGGGTTCGATTCCCCGGCCAGGCGACCAATTGGACATACTAAATTGTCCCTAGGTGTGAGTGTGTGAGTGAATGTACATGTCTGTGTGTCTGCCCTGTGATGGACTTGTGACCTGTCCAGGGTGTAGCCTGCCTTCCACCCAGTGACGGCTGGGATAGGCTCCAGCTCCCCCTGTGACCCAGAAGGATAAGTAGCTTAGAAGGTGTGTGTATATAAAACTTTGTTAGCACTGCTTTAGTATACTTTTTTCACAAGGGATTCCTAGTAGATTAGATAGATTCAACTTTATTGTCATTGCTCAGTACAAGTACAAGGCAACGAAATGCAGTTAGCATCTACCAGAAGTGCAAATAGTAGCAATAGTGCAAAACGGACAGTGCAAATGTGCAATAACAGGCATAAATATGGCGTGTCTATGAAATATATAACTATAAGAACAATATAAAAACAATTATAAATATATCTATGAATGATATATAGATGTATATATACACACACATAATACTATAAATAATATATATATATACTGTATGTTATGTACTGTTAGAGTAAGCAGTTATGTGTTGTATTCTATATTCAGTGAACAGTCTGTTGTATGGAAATGCAAGGGATAATAATCATATTAAATAAATATTGTGTGCAACATACAAGTATGAGTATTAGTGGAGTGGTGTGATGGTGTGATTAGTGGAGTTCAGCAGGGTGATGATGGAGGAAAAGAAGCTGGACCTGAGCTGACTGGTTCTGGTCCAAATACTTCTGTATCTCCTTCCAGGTGGGAAGAGGTTAAACAGTGTGTGGCTGGGGTGGGAGGAATCCTTGATGATGCTGCGTGCTCTGTGCACACAGCGCTGCTGGTGGATGTCTCTGATGGCAGGGAGCCGTGTGCCAGTGATGTGCTCAGCAGTCCTCACCACTTTTTGGAGGGCCTTCCTGTCAGCCACAGTGGAGCTGCTGTATCACACTGTCAGTTGGTCAGTAAGCTTTTAATGGTGCAGCAGTAGAAGTTCCTTCTTTAGTCTCCTCAGAAAGTAGAGGCGCTGCTTTGCCTTCTCAAGCGTGAGGTATTGAGTGTCCATGAAAGATCTTTGGAGATGTTTACTCCCAGGAACTTGAAGCTGGAGACACGCTCTACCTCAGAACCGTTGATTCGGACAGGAGAGTGTGTGCAGCTTTTGTTTTTCCGATAGTCCACAATGAGCCCCTTGGTTTTGTCTGTGTTGAGGGAGAGGTTGTTGGCGGTACTCCAGGCAGCTAGGTGCTGGATCTCCTCCCTGTAGGCCGATTCATCATTGTCACTGATGTGGTCAACCACTGTGGTATCGTCTGCAAATTTAATAATTTTTGTTGTATGCAGAGGAACACAGTCATAGGTAAACAGGGAGAAGAGCAGAGGACTCAGCACACAGCATTGTGGAACACCGGTGTTCGGGGTCAGGGTGGAGGACATATGACTGCCCAATCTCACAGACTGGGGTCTGCTTTTTAGAAAGTCCAAGATCCAATTACACAGGGCTGTGCTGATTCCCAGATCACTGAGCTTGGTGACCAGCCTGGTGGGGATGACTGTATTGAAAGCGGAGCTGAAGTCAATGAACAGCATCCGAATGTATGTGTTTGGATTTACCAGGTGGGTGAGGGCAGAGTGAAGATCTGTGGAAATGGCATCCTCTGTCGATTTGTTTGAGTGGTACGCAAACTGGAGGGGATTCAGTGATGGTGGGAGCGCTGCTTTCATCACAAAGGGTGTGAGTGCAACAGGAAGTCGTTCAGACATGCTGCAGAAGAACACTTTGGCACCGGAATGATGGTTGTTGCCTTCTAGCACGTGGGAACAGCAGCCTGGGCCAGTGACAGGTTGTAGATGTCAGTGAAGACTGGGGCTAATTGTCCAGCACACGCTCTGAGGACTCTTCTGGGGATGCTACCTGGACCAGCAGCTCAGTACTGAACATTCCTCCACTGGAGAGAGTGTGGGTGTGGGGGGCTGCCATTGTGAGGAAGTCCACCCCATGTGTTGTGTTCAGCATTGCCCTGGTCAAAACGAGCATAGAACGGATTAAGCTAGTCAGAGAGAGAGGCACTGCTGGCTGGGGGGGGGGTCAGTGGGGGAGGTCTGTAGTCTGTAAAAATCTGGATGCCCTTCCACATGCGGCGGGGGTCGGAGTTGTCAACAGACAGTTTGTAGGCATGTTTGGCTTTCCCAGTGCCCTTCTTCAGGTCTGCCCTGGCTGAGCTGTAAGCCTCAGCATCACCAGATCTGAAAGCAGCGTTGCGTGCCTTCAGCAGTAGCCAAACCCGAGCAATCAGGTTTCTGATTAGAAAAGATTCTCAGCCACTTGACAGAGGTGACATACAATACATTAGTTGATATATCTCATTACAGCTGAGGTGTCTAAGTCCGTGTGAGTGTCTGTAGTGGCTTCAGTGCAGAATATACTCCAATCACTGTTCTGAAACTGATGCTGTAGAGAGGAGACAGCCCCCTCTGGCCACACTTTAACAGTCTCTGTGGTTGTTTTCACACGTTTGATGAGTGGCACATACTTGGGGAGCAGAAATAATGGTGTTGCCTGTATTACATTTCCCCTAAGAAAGCTCATTTTTAATGATTCATTCTACAATCTACATGTAAACACAATGGTTGAATACTCCATTCTATAGAAAGTTACCAAGTTAGAATTGTTCGCACTTGTGGTGATAAGAACCAGAGGTCTAAAAAGTTTGATTTTATAAATGCTTCCTCAAAGAAAGTTGTTACATGAATTGGAATGCCCTGCCTGATGTCTGAGACATTTTTATCCCCATAAGTTTTTATCACCCTCCACAATCCATATGTTTTTGTTTTTTTTGTTTTTTTTTCCCAGATTTACCACTTTATCATCCTCATCAACATTACATATACAACTCAATAGATACATATGTTTGATGGTCATTTTAAATATTAAATAAAATAAACATATTTGAATTGTAGACATTGTGACCCCTGGTTCCTGTCACCACCACTGTAAAGAAATTGGAGCTGGCAAGTTCCTCTACAATAAACCATTTCACATCAAACCACTCTGAAAGATTTTGCTTACATCTCACTCACAGAATTGTGTAGATATTTTGAAAGTTGAAATTTCCTACGTGAACATATAAAACTGAAACAGTTGAGTAAGTAATGTCCATACCTGTACCAATACCTAATACTCAGCTATTAATCTTAAGACTTTTTTTTATAATTTAATAATTTAATTATTTAGAAATTATCCTAAACTATTGAGTAACTACTCTGTAACTACTATGTAATTGACAAATAAGTTATGTAGAAATGAGGAATCAAAGAGTGGAACTGCAAACATACAGTTAGAGTAACCTTAATGCAAAGAGTTTAAGCAAAAATGATACAGTAAAAAGAATCTACTTCACAGTCTCAGTACAAGTGGAGATTCATACAGAAAGCAAAAACTACAAAAAGGTCATGATTATTTGATAATCTGTTGAGTGTCATGTTTGTTTAATACCCAGGTACAAAAGTTTAAACAGGTTTGAACATCTGATCTTTTTGCCACTAATTTTCATAATACAATCATAAATCTTGAACATAAACATATAAACTCATAATTACTATATCTTAAAATATCTGATTAGTTCATTTATATATGATGTAGAAGTTCATCCATCCATCCATCATCTAAACCGCTTATCCTTCCGGGTCGCAGTGGGGTGCTGGAGCCTATCCCAGCTGTCATCGGGCGGAAGGCAGGATATACCCTGGACAGGTCGCCAGCCCATCGCAGGGCAGACAAACAGACATATACATCCACACACACACTCACACCTAGGGGCAATTTAGCATGTCCAATTGGCCTGACTGCATGTTTTTGGACTGTGGGAGGAAACCGGAGTACCCGGAGGAAACCCACGCAGACACGGGGAGAACATACAAACTCCACACAGAAACGACCCTGGTCACCCGGCCAGGAATCGAACCCAGGCCCTTCTTACTGTGAGGCGACAGCGCTACCCACTGCGCCACCATGCCGCCCATGTAGAAGTTCATATTTGTTTTATTTTTTGAGGATGATTTCTACTTAAGAAAGTCTAAACTTAAAGCTACATGTCCTTTATACATATATAGACTGTCAGTGTGGTAAAATAACAGCAAAGCTACTGAATTTCTGATTTGTTCATGATTAGTAATTTAAGATGTAATGGGTTATAAATGTCTCATGAATTAAATACTGTCTTTTGAACATCATTATAAAGTATAAACATCATTATAAACTATCATTATAAAGTATTCCTGAAGAATATTGTTAAACCAAGAAACACTTTCTCTTGAAATGCTTGAAAAAGCTGTGTTTTTCTTCGACTGTGGAGAAGACATCATATTTTTCCAAGCTTGGAAGTTTTCTTCTCCTCGATGACATTTTCAATCTCCTTGAGCAGTTTCTCCTTGTTGTTTTTGATGTTCAATCCAGCTTTCCCCAGAAGATCTGTGATCTCACTGTAACTGTAGTGCAGTTTGGAAGTGCAGTAATGGTGTTTCCACTTCTCAATTTCACCTGAAGAAACAGAAACTGACTGCTTAGAGCACTGCTGCCTTTCTAGTGCTTCATTTAGAAGATTTGGGCAAGGTTTGACATGCAATGTGATGTTGCCCTCATATCAAAATGAGCATGAATATTTGAAGAGCTTTGTTCTAAAGCACATTATAGACCAGTTTTAAGAACTTTCTTTTTTATGATATATATTATTGGAATTGGACTTTACTCATACAATAAATATCAAAGCTATGCTATGATTAATACCACCCTTATTATTATATATTTTATTTTTATATTTCAGCTATTGTTCTTTTCAAAAACTTAAATTACTACACATTGTTATATAGCTTTTTGGAACAAAACACTTCATTTATTCTCAGCATGCTGTAGTTACCTTTGCAGTTAACAGCATTGAAAAGAGGTATGTGAATCACAGTTGGAACTTTGCTGGAACCCCTGAACACATAGAAGTCCTCTGATTTTTCCAGATGACTTTTATCCACTTCAGGGAAAGGAATGTGTAGCTCTTTACACATCTTAGCCGCTTTCTTCACCGTCTGCGAGAAACAAAGAAAAATACAATTCTGTAAAAAAATATATATTTTTCTGTAAGTACAGGTTCACATTTAGTGTCAGTTTCTTTGGGTGAGAGTGTTAAGGTGGTGCAATCAGGTTTAAAGACTTCATAAGATCTTTAGACTAGACAATGTCAGTGGGTGGTTTTGCCAAGTGAACTGTGCTGTTGCTAAGTTTGCCACATCGTAACTGCTGATCGCAGGCGAAATGTAGGTGTTTGTCCACTTTGTAAGGTTTCTCTAATTTGCTTTCCACTGCTTTCAGGTACTTTTGCACTACCTTTTTGTACCTTTTTGGACATTCAATCAGTATTGCACTGTTCTGATTTTAGTCAGTAGAGTAGTTGCTGGTTGGTGGTGTTATCCACCTGAGAACTTCATTGAACTGTGAGTGATTGCTACATTACTGGTTCTTTGTTATTGTGGAATCATGTACATTGACCTTAACTGAAGCACGTGAGGCCAGCAGTTCTTTAGATGTTTGTCTGGGTTCTTTTGTGACCTTGTGGATGAGTCGTTAATGCACTCTTGGTGAAATTTTGGTAGGTCAGCCACTCCTGGGAAGGTTAATCATTGTTCCATGTTTTTTTTTCATTTGTGGATAACGGCTCTCACTTTGGTTCGCTGGAGGTCCAGAGGTTTAGCGATGGCTTTGTAACCCTTCCCAGACTGGTAGATTTCAGTGACTTTGCTTTGCATCTGTATTTGTATTTGGAACTTGGCATTATGTGCTGCTTTTTGAAGCTTGCTTCACATTGCCAGACAGGCTCTATTTAAGTGATGTTTAGATACAAAAGGTCTGTATTCATGCTATGCTATGTTTAGTTTGATGATTTGAAACATCCAGGACATCCAGTGTGACAAACATGGAAAAATGGAAGAAATTGGGAAGGGGGCAATTACTTTTTCAAAGCACTACTACAAGACTCAACTGCACAACATTTTCAGTTTCTAGCTCCATCCAACAGGCCCTTCACATAGAAAGTAATGGTGTTTATGGACATGTACAAGGTCCATGCTGCAAAGCTGGCAGAGGTATTAACCAGCGTTTACAGTTTATCTCTATCTCAAACTGTAGTCACCATTATGTGTTATGAAAGAGTGGTGCTTTGTAGCAATGACACGGTATAAAATGATTTCTTGTTGGGATATTTGAATGCTAATCAGCCAGCTATTTTTTTTTTATTAGCCAAACAAGCAACTGGCAACACACATTAAAATTGGATAATTGTCATTTGAGTGTTATGTGGAAAAAAACCCATTCCAAATGTGCACTCCTAGGTGTGTGATGTAATCACAGACATGCCTTATCCAATAAGGCTACGGCATGTCCTCTCTTAAATGTCTATATGACTTAAACATTGCACAGAATGCTGCTTTCAGTGTGTGTGTGTGTGTGTGTGTGTGTTTGTGTGTGCATAGTACCTCAAGAGGATCATCATCCAGACTGAAGTCAAGGGAAATGATGAGGTCAATGTGTCGCTCTTGTCTCAGCACTGAGAAATAGGGTGAGTTGAGTAACAGTCCAGCATCCTCATATTCTCTTGTCTTCGATCTAAGGATACTGGGGTCAACTTCTTCCACTGATGACACAGTCAAACAACACATACTTTATAAGGAAAATCATGCTCTACCACTACCTTACTGAACGATTTATTCACATTTTACTTTCCACTTTTTAGGTCTTCTCCATTATCTAGAGTGGTTATATTTCTAGAATAGTTTCAGTGTTATTTGACTCTATAAGGGTGACACAAAACTGACTCTTTTTGCCATTTAATCCACTCTGTTAATAATGCAAATTCTCAATGCTGTCATTGCATTTATTTGAGATGTAAACAACATGATCTAAAAACAGCTGAACATTTTTAGTTTTTTTGTGTCTCTATATTTTAGAATAAGCAAACACCTGCATATAAGTCTATATTCTATCATTACTCTTGTTAAACAAAATGATAACATGCACTTACAGAGCCCTCCACAAATATTGCCACTCCTGGTGAACGTGAGAATAATGGGCTGTAAAAACATTCTTTATTGCCTATTATGTTGATCTTTAAATTATAATATTAACAAATAACTTTCTTTGATGTACAATTAAAAGAAAAAAACTAAATTGTATGAAATAAAATGAAATAAATATTATTTTCTTTCTCTATCCAGGGTGGATATGTGTGTGCCATAAAGCCCTATTCATACTGAGTCTGATTTTTATGATTTTCAGAAAAAAAAGTCATATTTTTAACACATGTATATTAACACTTTCTTTCACATCTTGACTGATGGGCTGCAACGCTATCAATTTTTTAATAAATAAAGCTGACTCAATTTTCTATATTGGTTTAGGTTAGATGTGTTGAAATCAGGCTGACCAGTCAGAGCTCTGTTGCCATGGTTGCATCCCAAACAGATGTGCTCCAAGATGGTGGCAGAACACCTTATTTTGCTTGTAGCAGTGCATAAAAGCTTATAAGACAAGCAAAATGCTGACTATAAAAATATGGGTGGTCCCTCTCCTCTTTAGCGTGAAGGATGTCCTCAGTCCTTAAATGAGTCTTAAATGAGCTCAGACCCAGAGAAGTTGGCGGTGTTTATATATGGTTTCTTCTTTGCGTGGTAGAGTTTTAACTTGCATTAGTAGATGCAGAGATGAACTGTGTTCACAGACAGTGCTTTTTGGAAGTGTTTCTGAGCCCATGCATACTGACTCATTCTTTTTTTTTTTTTATCACTGGTAATGGTTACAAAACTTAAGTTCAATGAGATGGGTCAATTTAACCTTGTGGCAGGGAACATATGAGACAATTCTGAGCTGGCAAAACCTGGGTTTATGCCTAAGATTTAGCAAGATGCTTGCCTTCATGCTTTTCATCACTAGAAGCTTCTTGAATTAATACTGTAAGCCTTATCACAGGCACTTTCACTCCATTCTTAATGTCACTGACCACTCAATCCTAATCAAAATCATCAATGTAGATTGTCAAGTGTTCTTATATAGCATCATTACAGGCTTCGACATGGCCAATAGTAGCTGCCATATTAAAGCTTATGATTCACAGAAGACCGAAACAAATTCAGATACCTTTTGAATATTATATTAGATTTTATCTAGGATATTATTTTTAATAAAAAAAATTAAATGACACTCGGTTCAATAATATGCCCAACAGAAACTAGAGGTGGACTGGTGAACTCATTTAACTGAGCTGTTTATCTTCATATGTATTGCAGTCACAGTCATTAACTAAAAATGGAACCAGTATTTGTCCTGTTTTTGTCCAGCTGTGCACACTGAACACTGTCAATACTGTTTGTGAAAATTCAACACTGGGGATTTTTCTGTGTAACACAGAGATTTCCTTGCATAATTAGATACAATACTGTGTATGCAGTATATGTCAGTAAAGGTATGGTTCATATGCATTAGTATACTATGAAGACAAGTATATTTAGTACAAACACAAAGGTAAAAACAACATTAATTTTACATGAAAGTTAATTACCTGTCATGTTGTTGAGAAAGTTGTATGTTGTTCCCCAGGTCCAGCATACCACTATCTCTATCCATTTAATAACTGACAAATAAAGAAACCTTGTTTAATGAGATGGCATCTATCTGCCTGACATCACATTTGAACTGGAAAGCTTATATTCTCACAAACATCTACATTGAGTTGCCCCCTTATTAAGCACACTCCAACCTTAAGACAAATTGTGCAAACCAGAAAGCAGCAATTTCAAATCTGTTTTGTCTGGACTCATTGAAAACAATGCAAAACATGATATTTGAAGTTTTACCTGTGCACTCACTCTAAATGTGATGCCTTCCTCACATTCCAAAAAGTTGGAACAGGAGCATGTTTACCACTGTGTCACATCATCTTTATTAAGTGTTGTTAAAAGTAATCATCTGGGCACTAAGGACACCAATTAAATCAGTTTTGAAAGTGGAATTGTCACCCTTTCTTCCATTACATAAGTCTTCATCTGTGCAGCTGTACGGGGGCTTCGTTATTGTATTTTGCACTTCAAAATGCACCTCACTTTTTCAGTAGGAGGCAGTTCTGGACTGCAGGTGGGCTGATCTAGCATGCACACTCTCTGCCACTAGATAAGTTTACCTATTAAACTGAAAACTAATTTATATGTTGACATCATTTCTCAGAAATACAGGATATACATGATGTTCTCATGTATTGTGTTATTCAATCTGCATATCTTCTGTGCTTTAATAAATAAATGACAGTTAATGGTGTTAACTGCTGTGGTAGGTTTGCTAATTCCAAAACATCTTTTACAACATAGGAACCAAATATTACTACAATAATTTCACATTTTTTCAACGCTTAACATCTTCCAATCTGATTGTGTATCAATCTTTGCCAATCTGATGTATTATTATTATTATTATTATTATTATTATTATTATTATTATTATTATTGCTGTTGTTGAGAGGAAACCTTAGAAAAATACTAAGGAAAACCAAGCTAGGTGGTAAATTTTCAGTTGATTATAGCCAAACTAAAAAGAAGATACATAAATTAAAAACAAAGCTTGTCTGTGGTCACTCTGAGGGTATCTGTTTTGAGAGAACTCACATGCAAAATTAATGATAGGTTTGAAAGTGAATATACATAATTAAGTACATTAATTAACATTAAAGTAAGAGGTGGGTTGTAGCAGTAGAAAGGATCTACTCACCATCATTATTTCCAAATAAGTCACAGAAAGAACTGCATACACGGAGGGTGTAATCCCTTAACTCTGTCGTGGAGATCGTCCCTTCTGATGTCATCAGATTTATGGGAAGAGTCATCTGTCCAATTTCATCATATTTATCTAAACAGAAAGTTTTTTCAGTGTGAATGTGCATGTTTGTCTTTTCAAATGCTGTTATAAGTTAGACATTGAAAAATTGACAAAGAATTAAAACTAACATTATTATAAGGAACATATAGTGGGTGCTTACTGTGCATTATGACGACTAATAATACAAACATTAGTGGTTTTCACATAACAGACCTCCATCAGTACACTAATTAACCCTTCTCAAACCCTCCCTAAAGTAAACTGTTTCCAAAATGATAATTAAAATGCAGGCATTTATTATTATCATTAGTTAGCATTAGTTAATTTACTAGATATTAGTAATGTTATATATTAGGTTAAGTATGTATCCTTTGGATTATGGGAAATGTAGGTGAATACTACCGTTTAGTAGGTAATTTATGGTTTTGCAGTGAACTGAAGGATCCTCATCTGTCAAGGCACAGAGGTTCAAATGCAGAAGTGCTGAGAGCACCTGCCAACCATTCTGCACGTCTGATGCATCTGATGTGCAGCTTTCTTCCATATCTTATGGTTAAGAAAAAAAACAAAACAAAAATAACTTGGATGCAGCACTGCTGATTCACTCGTACCAGCACTACACAAACTAACATGCCACCACCATGCCAGTGTCACTGCAGTGCTGAGAATGATCCACCACCCAAAGACAATGGCTCTAAAACCAAGAACCGTTTGCATACTTAAAGGATTCATTGCATCCTCAATTGATTCTTCAGATTGATGGAGAATGTGTTGTATACTGTTCTATACAGAACCTTTTTGAAAAGCTCTATTGTTACAACACTCTTAAGAATGATGGTTCTTTAGTAGATATAGTGGTTTTTACAGAAGAGCCCTTTGCATGATTAAAAGGTTCTTTGCATCATGAAAGGGTTCTTCAGATGGAGAATGTCCTGTACATGAGGCTATACAGAACCTTTTTGTAAAGGGTTCTATACAGCACAAAAAGGGGTTCTTCCATTGTTAGAAGCCTAAAATTGTAACAATAGAACAACCATTTCTGGTGCTTTTCAAAGAAACATTTACACCCTTTAAGCATGCAAATATTTTTGGAGTGTTCATGATTCTGTATGGAACAACTCCTTCCTGAAGAATTTTGAAGAACCATCTTTTTGAAGAGTGTGCATATATGTACTGTGTAAATGTGTAAGCACATCATTAATGTGATTTATCTTAGCAATGAGCATGTTTTGCTTGTAGAACCACCATATACCAATAGAACAAATGAAAATAAGCATAAAGATAGTAAAAAGTAATTGATTTTTTTAAACGTGTGATATCCTGAGGGTTACTTTAAAGATAAAAGTGTTCTCCTGGTTACCCCCAGCCATGGCACAGATTTGTTAAATTCCAACAGCAGCACACTTGATTTCACACAAGTACTGATTAGCCAAACCAGATTTGCTCAGTATAGTAAATTAGTTTTAATTTATACATTTTTATCATTTCCAAAGTACTTGAAATGCTGAATAAAGCATCTACAAATAGAATCATTGGGAAGAAATATCTTTTCAGCTGATTTTGAAGATAATTAACTTTTGCTTTCTGTGATTGTTGTCACTGTGTTGTGATCAATCAATCTTTGCAACCTTAGCCCTCCAATCACTGCTATACATGCCAGCATTTCACAGATTTATTTTGAATATTTGAAGTTTTAGGATAAAGGCAATAGATGAGGCAAAGAAGTATTTGCCATACCTGAATGTTTCATATTAACAAAATACTTTTAATATTAGACAAAGATAACCCAAGTAAACACACAATGCTGTTTTTAAATGATGATTTCAGTTACTGAAGGGAAAATGCTGTTTGGCCCTATAAGTAATAAGTATAAGTAATAAGTATAAGGATATCCTACAAGCAATTGTCCCCTTAGCTATTAAATCAACCAGTTAACTGGTTGACAATTTACTATTGGAATCTTTTTCATTAGCCTTACCCAGGCATGATTACTGCCATACGTGTTAAATCTAAACATCACTTAAACAAAACCTATCTGGCAATGTGAAGCAGACTAGAAGGTCTCAAAAAGCAGCACATGATGCCACATTCTAAAATGATTCAAATACAGATGCAAAACAAACCTACCAGTCTGGAAATGGTTGCAGAACCATTGCTAAAGCTGTGGGACTCCAGTGAACTACAGCGAGTGGATCCACAAATGAAGAAAACTTGTAACAGTGGTAAACCATCCCAGGAGTGGCCAGCCTACCAAAACTTACCAAAAGTGCATCGATGACTCATCCACAGAGTCATAAAAGAACCCAGAAGAGCATCAAAAGAACTGCCAGCCTCACACATACATACATCATCTAAACCGCTTATCCTTCTGGGTCGCGGTGGGGTGCTGCAGCCTATCCCGGCTGTCATTGGGCAGAAGGCAGGATACACCCTGGACAGGTCGCCAGTCCATCGCAGGGCAGACAGACATATACAATCACATACGCATTCGCACCTATGGGCAATTCAGCACGTCCAATTGGCCTGATTGCATTTTTTTGGACTGTGGGAGGAAACCGGAGTACCCGGAGGAAACCCATGCAGACACGGGGAGAACAGGCAAACCCCACACAGAAACGACCCTAGTCGCCCGGCCAGGAATCGAACCCAGGCCCTTCTTACTGTGAGGCGACAGCGCTACCCACTGCGCCACCGTGCTGCCCTACAACCCATTCACAAGCTTCAAAAAGCAGCACATAATGCCAAGTTCTAAAGAGATTCAAATACAGATACAAAGCAAAGTCACTGAAATCTACCATTCTGGGAAGGATTACAAAGCCATTGCTAAACTTCTGGGACTCCAGCGAACCACAGTGAGAGCCATTATTCACAAATGACATGGAACAATGATTAACCATCCCAGGAGTGGCTGACCTACCAAAATTTCACAAAGAGTGCATCAACGACTCATCCACAAGGTCACAAAAGAATCCAGACAAACATCTAAAGAACTGCTGGCCTCACTTGCCTTAGTTAAGGTCAATGTACTCGATTCCACAATAAGAAAGACACTGGGCAAAACTGGCATCCACAGGGGTTCCGTTACATCTGACATAAAGCTAACACCACATTCCACCATAAGAACATCACACCAACAGTCAAACATGGTGGTGGTAGTTTGATTGTCTGGGGCTGTTTTGCTTCTGCAGGACCTGGGCGACTTGTCATAATTGAAGGAGCCACGAATTCTGCTCTGAATTAGTGACCGCCCATTGGTTCGTAACCTAAAGCTCAAGCACAGTTGAGTTATGCAGCAGAACAATGATCCGAAGCACACAAGCAAGTCCACCTCTGAATGGCACAAAAGAAACAAAAACGGTTTGGTAGAGGCCGATTCAAAGTCATGTCTTAAAATCCCTCTGAGATTCTGTGGCAAGACCTTAAACAGGCAGTTCATATTAGAAAAACCCTCCAGTGTAGCCAAATTAAAGCAATGGTACAAAAAAGTTATCACAAACATTTGACTGTGGTTGTTAATGCCATGGTTGACACAACCAGTTATTACTTTTAAGGCGCAAATACTTTTTTCACATGGCTGATATAGCTTTTAAATGAATCTTTATCTTCCAAAAATGGAACGGTCATTTAAAAGCTGCATTTTGTGTTTACTCGTGTTGTCTTCATCATATATTAAAATTAGTTGGTTGATCGGACACATTTAATAATAATCAAATAATAATGAAGTTTAAATAATGGTTTATGCTGGATCTGCAAAACCATACAAAAATTACTGGTTAAAATCAATAATTTGTACATTTAAACAGTATTGTTTTTGAACCAAATCAAATAGTTATTGTAAACAAGGCCATGGATGGGAATTTTTTCTAACTGTATTTGCATTTCTAAAGTGACTGTGTTTTTACAAGCTTGTACAGACTTACAACCCAAATAAATGGTTTCAGATAATTTGCTTAGGTGACTAATGATTTATACTCAGATACCCTTGGGAAACAAGTGAATGAGGGGTGAGAGAGATTCATACATTTTATCAGATTGAATAGCATCCCAAAGATCTTCTTAGCAATCTCATCCCTTTCAGCCAATGCACTGCCACACAGACCTGTAAAAATGCCAAAGAAATACAAATGAAAAAACAATAATTTAATATCCGTGCAGTGTCACTCCAATATGCAGCTGTATTTGATACCATGTCAATGGCCCAAATGATAAACCAACAGGACAAGAATATAAAAGTTGTTTTTCCAAAACAAACAACTCGCAATATATGACAAATTGCAATATTTAATGCAGAAACAATTTTAGATTTCTTCTTAAGTAGTCTTTGTTTATTCAATTACCACCACTGCAATAATGCTCATTTTGCTCATTTTCAATGCTGTGTTAGCAACAAGCTAACAGTGGTGCACAATATATATATATATATATATATATATATATATATATATATATATATATATATATATATATATATATATATAAGATACATTAAACACCAGAATTCATTCTGCTGCTTTTGTAAGCATTAACTTCATTGGTAAATACAAGAGAACTAGTTCCAATTTCAGCCATACATGCACACACCATAACACTACCTCCACCATACTTGAAAGATGAGGTGGTATGCTTTAGATCATGAACAGTTTCTTCCCTTTTCCTTACTCATCTCTTTTTTATCATTCTTGGTTTTTGTCTCATTTGTCTATAAGATGTTATTTTAGTGTTGTATATATATTTTATTTTTGTGTTTTTATGTTGGCAAATACTAACTTTCTTGTTTCCTGAGACTTAAAACAGGTTTGCATCTTGTGATAAACTCTTCATAATGAAGTCGTGAAGTGAACTGAAGTGAAGAGAAATCTCTTCTTGATTGGTGACTTTTACTGAAACTTTTTACTGAATCTCCTGGAGTGTGTTCTTGATTTGACCAGCTGTTGTGAATGGGTTTTTCTTCACCAGAGACATTTTTTTTAGCTGTGTTCTGTGCCATTTCATGTTTCTAAGCTCAGCCTTTTTTCTTCTTTAAATTATTTTTAATTTATTTTTATTTTTAATTTGAATAATTCTTCTCTTTCAAAATCTATTGTTTTAATCATTTTCATTTCTATTTTCCCTTACAAGCTCACTTTTTAAATTATAACTTCAATTATCTTTGTATTTCATCATTTGTAAAGCATTTTAAATGACCGCAGTGTATAAAAGGTGCTATATAAATAAACCTTGCCTTGCCTTTCTTTTTAAGAATCTACCAAGTAGTTGATTTGGCTACACCTAAAATTTTTGCCATCTCTCTGATAGGTTTGTTTTGATTTTTCAGCCTAATGATCACCAGCAGTGACCACTCTTTGGACTTACTGAGAGTTAACATCAATGTATTCCAACTGCAAATGCCACACTTGAAATCAAAAAATGGTTATAATTTGTATACTGTTCCCCTGACTTGGAAACAAATACCTGTGATATCACGAGGCTAGAACCACAGACAGTGCAGCATACCCTCAAATTAAAGTTGAAACTCTTATTAATCATTTAATTTCAGCTCCAATAAGCTGTTGTTGACTGCTAAAATAGCCATAACTTTGTCAATGTCCAAATATTTATGGACCTGACAGTAGAGATTACTAGGCTTGAATTAAAGTTGGTGTTTAGCAATTTAACCTCATAATAATGATTTCACTGAAAACACAGTATGCTAGACTGTTAATGTTCAAATGCAGATGCACTGCATTTATACAGAAATAACTTAACTAGAATCCTTAGATAACGTGCTTCCTTTAAACTAAGATTTAAAGGTTTAAATAAGATTTAACATGGTGTTTGGTACCTTGTAGGTACAGCATGTCCATCTCAGGCTGGTCTTTAATCTTCTTTCCTTTCTCAAACTGACTTCCCAAACAGGAGGAATCCACAAAGGCTCCATCGAGAGAATAACCTGACTCATCTGGAGTGATCTCAAACCACACATCTACAAAAGAAAAACACGGGGGAAAATGAGGCATGCACCCCCCGCCCCCCGCCCCCACCAAGAACAATAGGCCTAGAAGAAATTTTTTTAAAAGAAATTTCTTCTTCAAAGTCACATACGCAGTTTCCAATAAATTCACCAATGTTTTCTTATTTGGGATTTGTTCTTAGGTAACAGAACAGAATCTACACACACTCAAGAGCACAAAGGTGCAAAGGATTCTGTGGTTTAACAACACGTCATGAATCTGATGTAGACTTTTTCGTAGGACCTTTCTTAGGAACAAATTTAAGAAAAATTTTGTAAGACTTTGCTGAATGAGGCCCAATGTTCATGTACTGCAAAGCTAAACCATGCCTCTACATGAGTCTGCCATTTACAAGATAATGACGAGCCTCCACACACATGGAGATATTAAACTGGACCTTAGACACTTTTGATTTTATAGCACAAAAAGATAATCTTTTAAACAAGACTCCTGCCTTGCCCCACTATTGCCATCAGTTGGTTATTTAATCAGGAGAAAAAAAGAGATGGAGGGGCATTTTTGGACTTATTCACAGAACAAGTTACTCAAATAATAATAGAATGTGATACTACTCTTTATTTAAAATAATAATATTCTTTATAATAAAAATCATCATTTATAGAGCACTTTTTAGCATTCATACACTCCACCCATTGATGACATACATACACAGAAAAAGTACCTTTAAACAGTCTTTTATGTTTACAATGTTTGTCAATCACAGTGTAAATGGGATACGGGTCATTGGTGTATTTGCCCCTCTGCTCTGTGAGTTTGTGTTCATCGATCTGTAAAAAACAGAAAATACAGACTGATGTGTTTTGATGTGTTAATGTAAATCTTCACTAATGTGAAAGTACTATTAGATAATTCTACAAAACTGGATCAACGTCAGAGTAAAAAACACCTTTTAGACATTTAACTTACTTGTAGACTAAAATTCTTTTGCTAATTTAAACACATAATTTACATGCTTATGTTTTATTCCTGGAATATGTAGTTTTGAGAATTTGAACTTGAGAATGGGTCGATTGAGAGCCAGAGGTGATTGTGTCATGTAACCAATGACAAGTATTTTGAAAGTTTGTCAAAGAAACTTTGAGATGTCATTTAATACATCAGATAGCTCAGTGGATGAAGCTAGTCAGTGTACTGTGTATGGGCTGACTTAACTACATATCCACATACCTACTTGCTATTATATTCTATTCTCACCTCTTTCACTGAGCTAGACACAACCAGCACTGCCCACACATCTGTCAGGCTGAAGTTGGGTTTTTCCATATATTTCCTCAATTTGTGACACTTGTCCTGGCAACTGACACTGCCATGAGCAAGCCTCTGGACAATGCTCTCTTTCACAGTCTCCAGTTTGGTAGACCAGTCTGGTTCTTTGTATAGTGATGTCATGCACCTTCCAATGAAAGAAACAAATTTAACAATCTTAATTTCATGAATTCTTATACACCTCATTTTTATTGCAGTGCAACAAAACATGATAAGAACCTGGACTAACATAAACTCAGACTGTTAGTGACTACAAAGTGGGACATGAGTGATTACTGAAAGATGCCAGACCTTTAGACGACAGTGTTAGCATGTTTTGCTCTAAATGCTGGCTTCAGTTTCTAACGTTTCCATAATATTACTGAAATAAATAAATGCTTACTGACCTTATTATAAGGCATTATAAGGCATTATAAATCTGTTCACATAACTTACTTTGGTCAGTAATACACCTAACTCACATTCTAGTGTCCTAGCTATGTGGCCAATATAGTTTATGTTGAGCCTAATAAAAGTGAAAGTGATTGCCTCATTATAAACTGAAATAAGCTTAATTTTTTTTTTTGTGGCCACCCAGTGAAACTGTCTAACAGCCTCATCATGAGATCATCAGATCATGAGTTTGAATCTCAGCAATGCCACAGCCAACCCAAAGAAGGAAGTGTGTTAGCCTTCATGCCCCACTAGCCTGGGAACATCATGTGATCAGGAGGGGAAGGAATTGGTAATGACCAAACTGGGGGAACTGAGAAAACTGCAACTGCTTAAGATTTACAATGGAATGTAAATATTTAACACTAGCCTACTTATTTAATCTAACTTTACTCTGCTTTCTGATCTGTATTTTTTATTTTTGTTTTGAGTAATATCTCTTCCACCACCACATTTAATATAAAGCACAGAAATCATAATATATAGCCTAAGTGTTTATACTTACGAGTGCATGTAGTATATCATTGCTATTGCATAAAAAGCGTGGTTTTTACTTTTGCGCATCATTGAACTCCATCTGTTAAAATTTCATGATGAACCGACCAACGGAAATTTTCCAAAATTACTTTTGAAAAAAATAGGTTACATTAACTTCCATTTCAAGCAAAGAATGTTTTTTTCCTTTTCCTGTAAACTTATCATACTGGAGATTTAAAATTAATGTAGTATAAATGTATGGATATAAATAAGTAATTGAAATTTGTTCTGTGTCAGTACCAGGTAGATCCTGAAACTCCACTCAGGTACATGATGCAGTCGAGAAGTCCAACTTCTTTCAGCTGACTCAGTGACCCCAGCAGAGCAACCATAGCTCTCAAACCACCACCAGAGCCCAGCACTGCGATGTTAGGCACCTCAGCCTGCATTATTGAAACACATCTTCATTAATTTAATTTCATGAGGAAACTGCCAGTAAAACAGACGTCCCAAAACATCATCCATCAGATTCACCAGTAAGCTATTACAAATGTTACCAAGGCTGCTGGCTAACTGTGTACGTTTTTCGCACAAAGTATTTATAGACATGCAGTGATTTTAAGGTGGATGATGAATTAAAAAAAAACAAACACTGAAAACACGGGAAAGTTATTCACTAATACTTTCTAAATTAAAATTCTTACAAAACTAACTCAGTGGTTCAATTTTTGCTTGAAGGAACATGTTCCTCAAACCAATCATTTTTTACAAATATATTTATGGTGAGGTAGAATTGACCCTCCGAGTATACGGCCTTCTAGTGATCATGGTGGCCAAAATTCTTGTGTGCACCGTTCAACTCTGTATTCCACCTGGTATGAAGTAGATCTGCAACATGGACCTCACTAACATTTTCATCCTGGTTATGGCCCAGTATAGCTCCAAGTGGTTTTAGTTGTGTACTTATGTAAATTATGTTCAGGTCTAATGTTAATGCGCATGATACAGCTGGAGTTATTTTAAAGGTGTAAGAAAGTAATTATTCATAATGAAAAAACATACTAGTATAGCACAGCATAATATAATAGTGCAAACGAAGGGATATAAATGTGCTTTACCTCACTGCAGGATATACCATGCTGCTTCAGGCACTGTAGAACAGTCTCTCTCCGTCTGATCACATGTTGACTCTCAGCTTCATTCAGAGAATGACCAATCCTCACCTTGCTGCTGCACACACTACATAAGAGTGGTTTAAATGGGTTAAACCTTTGATTTATCTATACTACTTGCATGTGCTGAGCCTATCCCTGGAAGTTTTCTACAGGTGTAAAATCACTGAGCTTATCTCTTGGACCAACTGATTAAAAAGCACAGGTAGACAGAAGCATTCACAAAATACATTGCAAATACTTGCAACATAAAAAAGAACTATTTTATAATCTGACTTTAAGTCCCAGATGAAAAATAATTTAAAATAAACAAATACCTTTCACAGTTTCTGATCTGGTCCATCCCTGAAAAGAAGCAAACATTAGAAGTATTCTAGAAAACACTTAGCACGGCAGTCACCAATCAATATTCATATAAGCAGAGAAACTATTTTATTACAATGCATGAAATTGGATTTTTAAAATGTCTATTTTTTCAGCTAATGGAAAGAATGGTTAATATAGTCATCAGTGAATTACCGAAAGAACACCTCACCACTGGAGAGTGCAAAGAAGAGAATGAAACTCAAACCATCACATCAGCAGCTTTTCCACTTACAAGAGAGGAAGAGAAACTAGCTTTCTTTGCACTGAAATGACTCATGTGCCCAAAATTCTATGATTTAAATGGGAATTTCACAAGATTCTGCTTAAATCAATTCCTGTAATGTAAACACTCATTCAGAGTGGTTTGATGGCTGTTTATAGAAACATTTACCGACTTAGATTTCTTTACAGTCATTTGCAGTTCTTTACAATCCTCTGTTCTTACAAAAGTACACAATAGTGTTCTGCAAGTCTCTATTTTAAGATCTCTGTTGTTCACATTATATATATTTATATATATATATATATATATATATATATATATATATATATATATATATATATATATATATATATATATATGTATATATGCTACAACTGGGTACCATTATCAGTAAACAGGGCATCAATTTCCACTGCTATGCTGATGACAAACAATTATATATATAAACCATCCCAGATGATAAACTTCAACTTAATAAGATGTGTAAAAGACATAAAAGACTGGATGTCAGGTAACTTCCTCCTACTCAACTCAGACAAAACAGAGGTCCTTCTTCTTAGTCCAAAACGTGCTAGAAACATACTGTCTAATTTAATGCTTAAACTTATTAGTTTCTCAGTTGCATCAGGTACATCTGTAAAAAACGTTGGTGTCACAATAGATTCCGTTCTGTCTTTTGATGCATGTATAATCAATATTGCTAGAAGAGCTTTCCTGACTCTCAGCAATGTTTCCAAATTAAGAAATGCATTGTCTCTACATGATGCAGAAAAGCTAGTTCATGCATTTATTACCTCAAGCCTGGATTCCCCTGCTATCTGGATGTTCCAGCAAAAACCTGAACAAGCTTCAGTTAGTCCAGAATGCTGCAGCCAGAGTCCTCACAAGAACCAGAAAGTTTGACCATATCAGTCCAGTTCTGTCAAACCTACACCGGCTGCCAGTCAAATTCCACATTGAGTACAAAATTCTGTTATGGACATGTAAAACTTAAAACCTCACCCCTCAGTACCTGAGTGAATCTTATCTCTTATTATGAACCATCACGCCTACTTAAATCACAAGGTGCTGGCTTACTGTTAGTACCTAGAATTAATAAACTGACATCAGGGGGTAGAGCCTTCTCATACAAAGCTCCCCAGCTTTGGAATAACCTTCCAGTCAGTATTTGGGACTCAGACACAGCCTCAGTCTTTAAGTCTAGGCTAAAAACCCACTTGTTTAGTCAAGACTTTGGTAATTAGTTTTCCCGTTAGATAAAGGGTGCAGATCAGGGGGTTCGTGGACATCGAGTATTATGATAAACCAGGGGAGCTGTCATCCCATTCAAATCTGATGAGGGTGGAGCGGAGGGGCGCTGACATCTCAGGGAGCCCTCATGTCTGTTCCCTTCTGACTCTCCCTTTTAGTTTGGCTGTAATAGATAGACCTGCCAGAATATCTGCTTCACTGTCTTAAGACTGTATACTCTAATTAGTCTGTATTAACAGAACTAACTGCCTGTGTTGCTTCGCTAAGCTGAGCTAAGCTAAACTGCCAATCCTATACAGTCTGATGTTGTTGCTTCTTCTCCTTTGATCGGGTGCCCACTACTCACCCGCCTTCTGGACCAGTTTGACCACCATGGAACTTCTGCTGTGCAATGCTGTGCAAACCTCACATGCCACTGAACCTCTTGATGATACTGCTGCATTTTTTTTTTAAATCATAGACATTGCTACTCCTGCTTTTTCCATATGTTATACTAATGATCAAAAGTCATTCTCTGCTGTTATTGTTTGCCATCCAGTGTCAATCACAAGAGGCTGTCTTCCCCTTTTGAGTCTTGGTTCCTCTCAACTATTACCTACTGCTCGTGTACTGATTGAGCCCAGTGGTAGTATGTAGTATGCAGTATGTGACCATCATGAGTTTCTCCAAAATCCCAAACATACCCAAATGAGGTACTGCTCTGTCCAAATATTCTGGTATGTGAGCAGAGTAATCCCAAAATGAGATGCAGTCTTTTCAGGACCACTGATGTAACAACCTGGAACAATTAATACTCCACGTTGTGTCTGTCTTGTAGTCAGTGCAGCGCCGAAGCTCCATTAGTTTTCTCAGCCAGTCTTAAGGTGAGTTTTCTCACTTCTTCTATTTAATAAAGTTAACTTACTGCGTAGATAACATGGTTAAAGCAGTACCTTACTAAAGCTAGCCTGAATAATCGGCACAGCATCGGCTTTTTCACACTCACGTGTCGAGTCACACTGCTTATTATTTAGTCAATCTAGCTCATATTACTAACTGTGAATGCAATGAAATGACTGGCATTTTAGCAAATGTAAAGCACAAAAGTGTGTTTTAAGGTGTATCACATATACGAAACCAAAACATAAAGTTTTTAAAGTTTATTTGTGGCTTTTGAGTTGGAAAACACCCCCTCTCTGTCATGGTATCTGTTAAAACTCAGCAGACATCTCTTGATCAAGATATAGCCACACAATCTGAAAAATGGCTGGCAACAGTTGTTAAGTAGTGACTGGTGGGCTAAGGAAAAATCACGAGATCAGTCTGATTGGCTTAGCCCAATACTGGAGAAGGTACTGAAAAAACTGTGATTTGTTCAAGAAGAAAAATAATTGGTCTTGATATGTTGACTTCCCATTAGTTACTGATTCACAGCCGTCAACTTCACAGTGAACATGCAGCTCATCACACGAGAGCAGAGCTTCTTTCCTATTTAGAGAATAATCATTAACATGACTGTTGCACGTCTGCTACAAACCTAAATGTAATGGGGCTAAACATTCCCGTATTGCTTACCTTACATGGGAAATCAGTAAAACAAATCATTGTGACAATTAATTTAATTTGCAGCTATTATTGTGTAGAAATTCTTAAGCCATTAACAATATCTGGGAGGTTAAGTCAGTGATTACATCCTGAAATGTCTGTTGTATTTTGGGATGCAGTATATCATAAAGATAGCTCTGTCTACATACTGGAATCTTTGGGGAGGAATTCACTTTGGTCATATACTGCATACTACTCACTAATTTTGGGCCCAAGCAGTGTGTAATATGCTGTTTCAAACACAGCTATCATCTGATATTGGGTACACGGGGTAAATGACGTTGAGTAAACAAGATAACTTTTTACCGTCCCATACCCCTCTGCATTATTGTAATGCACTGAAGGATTAGCTTACTCTGGAGTTCTTGGCAAAGAACTTTCAGCATTGTAATCACAAATGCAGCAGCATTAAAATGAGGGCACATGTGTGTGAGAGAGATATGATAAAATGAATAGCAGGTCAAAAAGTACATATTGTCCATTAATTTTTTTGAACAGCAGTATAACACAGAGCATCACTACAAACAATTAAGCAAACTGATAATGACTAAGCCCTAATCACAACAGGCTACAAACCAGGGAGGTTTTACAATGAGCTTTACAACTACAGGGAAAACAAAACTTCCTGTAAAAATTAACCATAACGTGGCCCTGAGATGATTGACAAAAGTAGCTTTGTAAACTACATCTATATTGTAATCTACAGAAATTATTTTTGAACATAAACTAATATCAACCTGTGCTTCTTGTGTCAAAAAGTATTAGCTACAATCTAACCATGATGGTGAAATTTAAGTACAAAAGGACACAACGTAAAAGGATCACTCATGCTTTACTGACAGTCAGTAAAGAATTCTCACTTCTTTCATGCACACATCAACACCTGATAAACTGAATTACTCTACTGTTGTTAGTTTCTCTTGAATGTGTAATTATATACTGCTACACTGCTACGAAACAATAACTCACTACAACCATGAACTAAACCATGACAGTGAAAGTGAAGTGCACAAGTACGTGGCTAACAAGGATTACACATGCCTTAATGACCTAATCATGATAAATACGAAATACGAATGATTTTTTTTTTTAGCTGAACCAATTCTATGCACATCAGTCACAGGTGCCACCATGAAAGCTCACAGCTTAAATTTGAATTAAGTTCTAAAAGTAGTAAGAACAAAATTCTTCCCTACTGTATGTTTGATTAAAACAAGAGCATAATTAGTTATATATAATAGGGTTTAATGCAGCACAGTATGTGAAACAATGAACTCAGTAATCTTTAAATAAATGAATAATCTTTGTGTTTTCAATTTTCTTAAACAAGACAATGGTTCCCAGAAAAAGAAAGGGTCAAAAAAATGACAGTTAATGTCACCAAAAATTTCATTTACACACATGAAGTCTGACATATTTGAGATGCACACATTTGGAGTAGTAAATATTTGCAAGTGAACATGTACTCACAGTTTTTACGACTGCTTCAGCATGATTTTGAAAACGGCTCATTTTGTCTGGTCGCTACGCATAATTCACACAGCCACACACACACAAGCAGCAGACCACCTCAAATCTTTCGCAAAAAAAACTTTTGCTAAAAAGAGACTGGTGGAAAAAGTGAATTGTTACTCATTTCTCAAACCAAAGGCAAAAGAGGAGATTGTGTAAGATCTCCATTAATCTGTGGAAGAATGCATTACCAAACTAGAAAAGACCATTTGCAAAAGAAGAATTGTTAAACCAAATATTTTATTGCCATTGAAGCTAGCATCAGTGCCGCTATGGTGAGCGAATTAGCAGCCAGCCAGCTAGCATGTGCCCCCCTGAATACCAGGGAGCATTTTGCACACTGATCAAACTGTGACAGGATACTGTATACATGAGCATAGAACAGGAAGCCCAAGACTCTAGGGTACTTCATCTCTATTCCTGGGGTGCTAGTGTCCAGCATTGTTTGGCAATTTCCCTTTTCAAACACATCTGATTCAACTCACCTGTTAATTGGCAGGTTTATTAGATGTGTTTGAGCAGGGAAATCACCAAACTAGACACAGCCTCCATGACCGGAACCGAACCGGATCGAAGAACCCTGCTGTAGACAGATGCAGAAACTTTAAACAGGTCACCATGCTTCATTGCAAGACACAGCATTAACACAAAAGATAACTAGGTGGCCTTCATATTTGTCGCAAGTGGCCCTCCAACAATGTTTTCTTTTTTGAAGATGAGGCTAGAGACCTCAGCCGAAGTGTTGGCCGACTTGCTGCAAACAGCATCAGGTTCTCTTAAGTATCAATGGTTGACTATAGTAATCCAGCTGTTGCAGGTGGGAAATTTCATGAATTTAAGTAAGAAGCTAAAATGTAAATTAACTAAGGTTTGAGCTAAGCCTATTTTATCTTTATTCATTTATCTTTCCTTTTTTATTTTTTCAATTAGGGATGCACTGCAGAGGGCTACAGACCAATGAGACTGTCAAAGGGGGGTCCAAGAGGGTCCACCCTGATACAATCACTGCCCCCCCAGTGGTGCTCCCTAGTGAGTTGCATGTGCATAAGCATTATATGCTTCTGTCTGATATATTGTGGTACTAGGGCTGTTAACAAATGGATATTCGACTTTTTGCATATGCTCTTTTGGGATATTGTTTGCTGGGATCTGTCTTTGGAATTCCTTGCTCTTTCTGTATCTGTTTTTTCCTGGATCTGATCTTTGCCTGTTTTTTTGATAATGATTGTGCCTTACGTCCCAATCAGTAAAGCCTCATTTTAACCACACACATCTGACTAGTTCTGGCACGTTACAGGCTGTCTGCCTCGCGAGTTCCCGCATGGGCCTGGGTGGCTGCATGATGCGTGAGCAATGGCCCACCTAATAAGGGCTGAAATCTCTGTGCCACCCCAGCGACGTCCACCTTGCATCTGGAAATGCCAGTGCACCAAGCAATTCTGGACCATGTTGTGCAGAGCCATTTTTCAAACAAGCATTTGAGAAAGTCGAAAGCGACCTTCGAAAAAGCTATGCAACATGACTGGACCATCTGTGGGAATCACGGAATCATGTGACTTATGGCTTGATATGTCATCATTTATTCGAAAAAGCTTTTTCCATCACTCTTTTTCCATCACAGCATTTCAGCTTTAGTGATATTCTAACTTTTCTGATATTTAAGTGTTTTTTTTTTTTTAAATTTCAGGCTTTTTCCATTCAGTGCATTTTTAAAATCCGCAAATAAGTGGTGGATGGTTGGTACAGTCTGATTGGTATGGTTAAAGTTATTTTAATTCAGAGAGTTTAAGAGAAGTTAAAGCAGTAAATGATCTAATGAAACGATCATTATTCAATCACAAATGTAAAATCAGTTGAAATACAAAAAGAAAATAAATCTATTTACTGACCCTGAATGTACAGAATGTACCCAACTCATAAACTGCTGAACTAGAGCATATTATTTACCTGTGCAATGTAGTGTTTTTATTTAACTAGATCATAAATGGCTAAACTAGAACAGTTTATTTACATGTGTACTGTACTGCTTTTCTTTAACTAGTTCATAAATTGCTAAATTAGAACAGACCACCTAACAGGATATTATGTGCACTGTTCTAGTTTTGTACCTTTTTCCCTCTTGAAAGTATGAACCTGTAACTTTGTGTCTGGCCTGTGTGTGTGTATACAGCATGATGACCTATTGTTTTCATTTTGTAGTTATGCATGTTATGAGCACCACATTTTGCATGATAATGTTTTTCTGTAGTTATGCAATTTTTACATTTTTCTCTTCTGGCTAGTCTTAACATGCTGCCCAAATACCAGCATGTGAGAATGCTGGCCTGCAGTATGTATTTCAAGCACCCGTCTGTAGTCTGCACCGTAACACCCGTCTTTGAGTTCATGTATTGTCTGTTCAACGGTTTTGCAGTGGTTACTGAAAATGGACTGATTTTCCTCTTGCTTGCTGATATTGTTTGTGACTCAGAAAGTCCAAATAAAATCTCTGACAGCCTCAAACATGTACTTATTTCTCCAAGGCTGTTTGCTGAACAAGTGCATTGCTTAGCTTACAAATGAACAATCTCAAAGCCCTCTGAACTATTCAAAAGTTAAATGTTCTCTGTCCATATAATAAATTTGTTGTGCCAGTGGATGTTACCTAATCTTACCTAATCTCAATAATGTATGTACTATTTTGCTTACAAATTGTGCAAACAAATGCAACATTTATACAAATTGCCCAGTTTAGTTTATTCATTTATAGCTGATTTACTGATTAACTGTTTAAAGTGTTATCCAGATTGGTTATGAAAATAATGCATATCATATTCTGTGGGCCAAAGAAGAAAAAGACCCTACTGATTTTTACCAGCATAAAGTTCAAAAGTCAGGCTAGGTCATGTATTGGGGGGCTATTAGAGTGAGGGTACACTCTGATTCTGCATGTGAGAAGACAGTGGAGGTTCATAAGGTATTTACTTTACTCACAAATAATGTTTTTTTATACTGTTTCAATTTAATATACATCGAAGGGTATTTACTAATCACTGCTTTCTCTTTTTATTTGCATTTCTCATACTGCCCCATGTTTTCAGTATCTTGAGGTTTGTAAGGAACCCACTAAATACTTGCACTGGTTCATATTAGCCTTATATTTAGTAAGTGCAGGTGTTCTTCATTTAGCTGAAATTAAGTAACTTGACTTTTTCTGGTGTTCATGGTGTTCTAATTAACTAATGCCATAATGTTAACAAAAAGACTGTAAAATTACTGTTTTCTTGATCACTTATACTAAGCCACAAATCATAAAACATGAGAAATCATTTCTGTCTAGTCTGATCATTGCATTTCTGATATGAACCTTTTAATGAGACACCAAGTGAACCACTGCAAATGAAAACAAGAAAGAAAGATACAGTCCATCATTTAAAAAACAAAACAAACAAAACAAAAAAGTACATTTCTATACTGTCTGATTATTGTCATTTTTTCTATTTATAAAAAAGTATTAAGTCACAAAAAGTCCACCCACATAACCCAGATATCATTTAACTTTCCAAAAAGACTTATGTTCAGCACGTTTTCTTGAAGCACTCATACTGCTGTCTTTTTTCATACATCAGACTGTTCCAAGTTTGGACGTTTTCTTTTTTGCAGTGATCTTTTTAAGCTCCTTGAGCAGTTTCTCCTTGTTGTTCTTGATGTTTAAAGCTGCTTTCTCCAGAAGATCTGTGATCATTTCATGACTGTAGCTCATCTGAAAAGTCTTATATCGCTGTTTCCACTTATCAACGTCTCCTGAGGAAACAGACATTTAATATGTAGAGCACTGCTGTATTTCTGTTACATCACAATATACCCAGGAATGATACTTGTGTGTGTGTGTGGTATACATACGGGGAGAACGCAGATACAGAGAGAACTTTAATGTTCTTGCATTCTCCCTTTACACAAGTTCATTCTTCCTTAATACTTTCATGTTCTCAGCTTTTGTTTGCCATATTAATGTTGTGACTTGACTTGACATACAGCAATTCAAGTGCAAAACTACACCTTTAAGAAGATGATTCTTCAAGGGTTCTTTAGTAAAGACAATGATTCCACATAATACCATGAACACTCAAAGAACCATTTGCATAATTAAAGGTTTCTGGATGGAGAATGTGTTGTATATGAATTTCTATATATTTTTGAAAAGGGTTCTTCATAGCAACAAAAAGTGTTCTGCTATTGTTATGATGTCAAGCGTGTAACAGTAAAAGAACACTTTTTGTTCCTTTTCAAAAAGGTTCAATATTGCATTCAATATTACTTGCATTTCACGATGCAAAGAACCCTTTGATCATGGCAACAGTTTTTTGAGTTATCATGTTTCTATATAGAACCATTTTTTACTAAAGAAACATTTTGTTAAGAGTGTGGGTGAACAAAGTATGCCTAAAACTACTCTTGTCATATTGATATTTGATGCTTTATATGTCAATATTCAAACAAAATATATATATATATATATTAACAGGAGTATCTTATATAGTCAGAATAGAGATTCAGTGGCATTTTTTCTTTACATTGTGTCACTAAAATGATTAAAATATAAAAAAAAAATGCAGGTGACAGTATGCAGTATGCAAATGCAGATTTTCAGCCATTGTAATGGTCTTCCACCTAATGTGTGCATAAATATTGAAACTTCTTATTGGATTTTCTTGACCCTGACTTTAATGTGTAGTATGACTACAGAAGTCACAAATTACCCCACACCCTCAAACGTGTGTTGAAAAACATCCTCTGCAGTAGTTATGGGTGTAATACCCCCTTCAAATGTTTCACTATCCCTGTAGCACCCCTGTAAAAAATTCTGGCACTGCTCCTCAATTTAAATACAGTTTAGTACCATCATAGTGAATCTAATTACATACAGCAGTAATTCTTTTCAATATGTTAGAGTTACCTTTGCAGTTTACATTGTTGAAAAGAGGGATGTGAATCACAGTCGGAGCTTTGGTGTCATCTTTAAACACATAGAAGTCCTTTGGTTTTGTCTTTTCTCCAGGGGGTACATCAACTTTAGGGAAAGGAATCTGTAGGTCTTTACACATTGCAGCAGCTTTAATCACTGTCTGCAAAAAAGAGGCAATTATCTATTTAGCATTAACTCCTGTAAATATGCTGTATTTGTGCGTGTGTGTGTGAATTTGCTGGGCTGTGTGTAATACAGTGGTATAAAAACTTAAAATGTTGATTTTGCTAGACATCCCAGGTAAGAAAGTGGTAACACAAGTGAAAGACCTGTTTATTAAGGTACATTCCTATGTACTGTGCAGTGAATAGTATATTTAACTCTTCTGTGGACAGCTTGTCCACTGCCACTGCAGCGATACAGTGATAAAGTCATAAAGTGCACTGATTAGCAATTTAAAAGATTATTGCCAAATTATTGTTTTTTACTTTTACTTTGAGTTTAAAACAATAAAATTTGGCTTGGCATTTGGCTTGTACAGCCATCACCTTTTCAGTTGAAGATTTAAAAATAAAGTCATGTATAATACAGTTTTGATCACCCCTACAGTGGTGTCTCCATCTTAGTTTTGACTGCTTCATTAACAGAGGTGTAAAATTCAGGTCCAGAGAGTAAAAATCCTTCCCAGGATTTTGTTCCAACTGTCTGGACAGCTCTGCTGGTGGTTTGATCTAACTAGAGTAGCCAGGCCATTGGAACAAAATCCTGGGAAGGATTTTTACTAGTTCTGTGACTGGATGTACTATTTTGGGAAAACAGTTTAATTGGTTTAGAATCTTTACATTCATCAAAGGTTCTTTAAACTTCAGTACATCTCATAAACAAATAAGGTTCTATAATGAATCAAACATTGAAAGGTTCTTTATGGAACCAAAAGTGGTTATTCTCTAGCGTTTTTCCAAAGAACCCTTTTAGGCTCCTGCTTTAGGCTCATAACTCATAATTAATTTTCCACATCAGTATTCCTATATATATATATATATATATATATATATGTAAATCACTATTATTGTGAGTGTTGTGGGCAATCATTAACAGGATATTATATTACACAGGCCTTGTTGTTAGTTACTAGTGTACAAATCACATATAACTGTGATTGTATGATTTAAGATTGCTTTTACTGCATGCATGTGTGTGTAGCACCTCAAAGGGATCTCCTGCACTGAAGTCAAGGGAAATGATGAGGTCGATGTCTCGTTCTTTTCTCAGCACTGAGAAATAGGGTGAGTTGTGAAACAGTCCAGCATCTACGTAGTCTCTCGTCTTTGATTTAAGGACACTGGGGTTGACATCTTTCACTGATGACACAGTCAAACAGCACTTTATAAGGATGCTAAAGCTCTCCCATGGCTTCATTTAATTATTCTATAATTATTGTGTTTTTCTACTTTACTTCCTTTGACCTCTTTTCTATGCGGAGTGTAAGGTTTCTAGAAGATTTTTTTTATTCACAATTTCAGACACTACAGACTGACTAACCTCAAGAAAGCATCTAAATGAAGAATCTTGAGCCATTATGGGAATAAAATCCAGTGGAGAGGGATGTTGAATTGTATTATGAATCATGTTCTGCTTAATGTTATGTACTTTTGCTTGAAAAAAAATCAAGAAAACGACAGCAAACATAAATCGAGGGAGCCAAGCCGGGTTCTTTAGAATTGAGCAGATGGCTAATTGTAGAAAATAAATGTCTGGGATTATTAATGTTTCTCTCAATTAGACCAGAATAATATTTAGACTTAGCACTTCTTAAGGCTAGAGAGTATTTGCAGTAGTGTTCTCTATAGGCCAATTGGTGGACTGCTAGAGAAGTTTTCCTCCATTTGCGTTCAAGTTTGCAGCCCTCTGCTTTCAGAGCCCTAAGCTGAGGAGTATACCATGGGGAAGAGTGAGAGAAAGACACAGTACGAACTTTCTCAGGAGCCAGTTCATTAAAAATATTACTTAAAACTCCGTTGTGTAATTCAGCAGAATCATCAAGTGTAGAAGTGTTCAACAGCACAAATTCTACATAAGCACTTCTTCTCTAAGATGTTTGATGATCACACTTTAACTCATATTTATGTAGAAAATCAGAGAATTTTTAAACTCTGCAAATTCTTAATTCTTAAATCCTTAATTCTTTCTCTTACAGAATGCAGTACATAGTTAATTTGATCACATTATGTTTTTGCCAAAGCATTTTTTGGGTTTGTTTTGTTTTTTCAGCCTAATGATGGCTTGCTTCATTGGTAGTGACACCTCTTTGGACATACTGAGAGCAAATGCAAAAGCCACACTGGAAATCTGTACTGTAGACCTTTTATCTGCTGATTTGTAAGTGAAGTAATGAGAGAATAACACACATCTGGCTATGGAATAGCAGGACCACCAGATGTACGATTACTTTTGAGCCCCTAAAGATTGGGGGCAGTGTATGAAAGTGGTTGTTATTCTTACACTCTTCAACCAATTTGGAAGTAAATCCCCAAAATCACTCTGCAACTGGAGCTCATATTCATTATTTAGTTTTATATCCAGTGCTGCGGTAGACAGCTAAATTTGTCCAATTTTCAAATATGTATGGACCCGACTGTATTTGAGATGATTTATCATGCTCTGAAGTGAGATGATGTGAATACCAATACAAATTTACGATTCAACTAAACCAGCAATAAAATATTTATTTTTAACATTTTCCACAAATGAATAATAACCGTTATATCTTAAGGTCTTTGCTGATAAAAATAATTTTAGGCAGGAACATTTGTGGCTTAAAAAGGTAAAAGCTTCCGAAAACTAATGATCAAATACTCAAGTATTCTGATTATTAAGCAAATATTTCCCACCTGTCATGTCGTGGAGATAGTTGTACGTTGTTCCCCAGATCCATTTGGTAAAAATGTCAATCAATGTGCCTAACAAAATAAAATTGGATAAAAATAAAGCAAAGTAAGGTTGATATCTATCCCAGAATTTTTTATTACTGTTTCTGCCTTAATTCTAGAGTAACTTGTAAGTCAAAGCTTCAAAAACTCACATTTAGTGTGGAATCACTTTTTTTTTTCTCAAAGTCTCTTTTTTTAGTCTATTTTGGATTTTCCCAGATGTATATCTTTCATTGTAACTGTATGAAAGTACATGAAAATATATAGTACTATAGTAACACAGAAATAGAGAAATGGCACTTTGCATTCTTATCCTGAGACTGATGAAATACCACACCAGAAGGATCTCAAGAATGCACATGTTTTCAGTCATTTTCAGTTTTGTAGTGTATAAGGAGAAGACTTGAAACACACTCTACAAAATACATGTGATGCTGCTGCTGTTGCAGTTCAAGAATAACTGTTTACTGATAGGAGAAATGCTCACTTAATCAGGGGAATGAGATGTCAGTAGTAGTGTTTGTTCATTGGTGACACCGCATGTTCTTATTTTAATATTACTGGTAATTTGCATTGTAAATTAGCTAACCCATATGTCTGCAGATGTGTGACAGGATTTCTCCTATTTAAGGAGGCTGGGTATGTCTGCGAACCACACTGGAAAGCAAGACTAGCTTTTCTTTCATACCTCTATCATGTATCAAAGGTTAGGTTCAGAGGAGCACTTACTGGCACTCTCTCCCAAAGAAGTCTCTGGATTCCCACCAAAAGTATCTGGTAAAACAAGACAAGCAACATGAGAGAAAATTTAAGAACAAATCAGGTTGTTCTTTCAGTTTTCAGGAGATTATAGCCAAATTATGGAAGTAACATGTGTACTGGCCTACCAGGACTGGATAGCAGGTCAGGAATAATTTGATATATATCATGTATTTATTAAATTACGTTTTGGGAACATAATGGACTTGGACACAAAAATACACATCATGTCAATGACCCATAAATAAAAAAACGATATATAAAAAGAGATGCAAGGTTTTGCAGTACTATACAGGTATGAGAAGTGATGCAGCAGTGTAGCTAGTTAGCTAATGTTTTATAAGGGAGGAAGATTCTAACAGTACATCTGTTTTGTTTCTTTTTAACAGGTGTGCATGGTAGCTTAGCACTAGCAACTGTTTTGTATTATTGTTTTCCAGTTTTGTGATAATGTAACTTTGATAGTATTGTTTTCTTTTTCTTTAAGTAGTGTTCTTATTTCTTTTATCTTTCTTTTGTATTTCTTATTTCCTTTTTTGGGATCAAGGCCTGCTATTACTATCCAGGACCAGTGTAAAGCCTGTTGATAGTCTTTCAACAAAGCCTAGGAGTTCTTAAGACTAAAATTATAACATTTTATCTCAATGATGCAATTTGCAACTTTCCAAGGGTTAAAGCTTTTCTTTTTTTTTAAATTTAAATCTTCTAAGCCGCTTCTCCTTCTAGGTCGCGGGGGGAGCTGGAGCCTATCCCAGCAGTCATTGGGTGGAAGGCAGGATACACCCTGGACAGGTCACCAGTCCACTGTAGGGCACACACACAGACATATACATTCACTCACACACTCACACCTAGGGGCAATTTAGCATATCCAATCGGCCAGACTGCATGTCTTTGGACTGTGGGAGGAAACCGGAGAACCCAGAGGAAACCCCCGCAGACACGGGGAGAACATACAAACTCCACACAGAAAGGACCCTGGTCGCCCGACCAGGGACTCGAACCCAGGCCCTCTTTGCTGTGAGGCGACAGCGCTACTGTTAGTAAGTATATTAAATAGGTTGCTCTCATCCCTCAGCTGACAGTGGCTTAGTCGGATACTTTGATTCTCAATAGGGAAATAGTAGTAGGTGTGTTGTTTGGATTGGTGGGCCGATCTCGGTGGAGGCGGGTCAACCCCTACAGCTTGCTCTCTCTGTGCTCTTTTAGCCAGTGCCCACGTGCCCACACATGCATTAACATGCTTGTTATTCAGTAAATACATGGGCTACAATGCAAACTGGCTGAGTTTATTAAAAGTATATTAAAACTTTAGACCTGCCGAAGGGTCCTGGACATTTAAGGGGTTAAACATACATATTGTCCACAGTGACTCTGAGAATGTCTGTCACACGAAGAGCCAAGACCAGGTTGTAATTTTAGATACTTATTTGTGCACTGTGTTTAAAGATTTAAAGAAGGTACTTTGTTCTACTCACTGGATAAAAACTTCTCCGACTTGTTTGGAGAGAGCCTTCCTTCAAACAAATGAGAGAAAGAATTGCATACATGCTGGGTGTACGTCTTGAGCTCTGTCTCGGAGATTGGCCCTTCCAATGTCTTCAGGTTTACAGGAGGATCTGTCTTTCCTATTTAATTATATAAAAGAGATAATTTATATATGTATAGCTAGAAACAAAATCTAGCCAATCATTTAACATGAAAAAATGTGTCTTTTAATGTTAGGATAGGTAAACTGGTATGTATTCTTTTGATCATGTGATTTGTTGGTGAATACAACCTTTCAGTAGGTCATCCATGGTATTGAGGTAAAATTTAGGACTCTCCTTTACCATGGTAGACACACGCAGACCCAAGAGAGTTAAGAGCACTTGGTAATCCTGATGCACTTCTAGACAAAAACAAAAACAAATGATGTAGCTGAGCTGGTAGTTGGAGTGTTATTGGGTACTTGTGGACATAATGAGGTACTTGAGTCACAAGGTTAGTTCAGCATATGGACAGCTGTATTCAAAGAATAGGAACTATAGGTTTATAACCTAAGCTACCTAATAACCTAATAACTACACAATAAGTACACACAGTTGGTCTAAGTGTTTGTACTAAGTGTTCGTCAAGTCTTTATCCAGATTGTACCAAAAATGTATCAATGAAAATAGACATTGAGACGCAGTCTTACCTCTCTGAAGCTGTACAGGTGCAAGAGAAGAGGTGGCGCCACCAGTTAGGTTTGTATTTGCTTTTTCTTTCGCAGGGTTGCTGAGTACCTCTAGCCAAGATAATAGAAGTTAATATAGAGCATGAACTGTCTGTCCAAATCTTTAGTAACTTTGTTTACATTTACATTTATGGCAGATGCTCTTATCCATAAGTCACACGGTTTACAGTTCAGTCCTTTTACAGATACACAGAATTTTTGTTTGGAAAGTTTGGAATCGATGTTCAAAAAATCAGTAATATAAAACTAGTATAGCTGTAATTAAGAACCAAAACATTCTAATACCAGTCCTTTGCAAAGTTAAAAATATTATTCATAATATCTTTATATACATACAATTTGAAAGTGACACTCACATCTCAAGGCAGCTACCAAAAATGCAAATGGAGAATTGCAGTATGTGATTTATACTTGCATATAAAATACCTGATATACTGAATACAGCATCTAAAAACACTTTTGTTGCCATGTAGGGGCAACAGTTCCACCAGTTGCTTTGCCTTGATTTCTTTCTTCTTTTAATAAAGTCAATTCACTCAATTCATTTCACTCAATAATCAATTCACTCGTGTAATCTTCACATTATTATCTCAGTCTGGCATTTATTCTTCTTTTACTAGTTTCTAGATTTTTTTTTTCCAACTTTACTGATTTAATTACAGAACATTTTATAAATTGCTAAACTGTACAGTAAGTGAATGATTGATGGAGAATTTGACTGGGTTCATACTTGGTATCATATGGTGTAGTGCATTAAGCAGCTCCTCCTTATTCGATATCATGCTGCCACACAGGCCTGTCCAAATTCCAAAGAAATGACAACAAATAAGTTATTAACAACACTGAGAACTTGGTCATTCTTTCTTTCACAGTTCTAGGTAAAACCAGGTAAGTGTGAGGTACAAACTCTAAAATAATATATAATTGCAACTTAACTTTAACTTTTATTACTGTTAAATTTTATTATCCCTCTGTAAAGCACTTTGAGCTGTGACTCATATGAAAATACTCTATAAATAAAAGGACCATTGTTATTATTATTATTATTATTATTATTATTAGTATTATTATTGTTGTTGTTGTTGTTGTTAAGACAATGTCTGCCTAAATTACACTTCAGTGCATTATGGGCTCTAGGTATTAACTGAGTAAGTGTATGATAAAAACTCTAGATTAATGTAATTATTTTGGGTAAAATATTGATATGTTCCAAGACAATCTAACTCTAAATACTCAACATACTAAATTATTAGTATATACCAATATACTTACACTGAATTTCACCATAATGTCTTATATTTATAGGACAAATAAAGTACAGAATAATTTTAAGGGGTACATAGATAACGACATCCTGCCTTCCGCCCAATGACAGCTGGTATAGGCTCCAGCACCCCACCGCGACCCAGAAGGATAAGCGGTTTAGATGATGTATGTATGTATGTATAGATAACGACAGCACATTTGATGTGCAATTTAGAACATTTGAAAGAAATATGATTTGAATTTGGATTTACTGTGTCTTTTTTCACTTTAGTTGCTAGAATCTGTTTCAGTGAGTTTCAGTGATATTTAGTTAGACTCTTTTGGAACTTGTCATGTTACCCAAATGAGCTACCTTACAGTTTTGTATTCGAGTCTGGTAAATTAACTGGAACATTATTTGGACTTGGAAATGGTTCTCGAGACCAGCTGAGTGTGATGCCTCTAAGTTATTAAAACTGAATTTTTCCTATCACTACTGAGTATCAAACCTTCAAACAGAATGAAATACATTATGGGTCTCAAAGTAGCAGCTACGTAACAGAAAATAACTAATGTAGCACATTGTTGTCTCACTTGCTGTGATCAGTCATGCTTTGGGGTGACTATATATAATTAGAATATATATAATAATATGCCTTTCTAATAAATAGCTATGAAACATGCTGTCATGCTTGCCATGTGCCCCCCCAGGAAGTTGTGTAGTTTTTCGTATAAGGAGAACTGTCACTGAAGGGAGGGGATTGAACCCCAGTCTGCAATGTGGAGCTACTTTGATCTTGGTTTCTTTTGTCTCTTAATAAAACCATTATAATGAATAACTATACAGCTATGTTTTCAGTCTGTTTAACAAGTTAATTCATTCTTGTAATCCTCGCATTTTCATCTTAGTCAATAAACTCTCAATAAACATTCAACAAGAGTCGGACGTTGTAAATTACTGATGAAATTATTTCTTGTTTAGCTAAAAAATGAAAGAGATTACTTTGTAAACTGGATTACAGAATGTTTCCAAAAGCCCCACCCCCCATATTGTATGGTAAATTCATAGTGTACTTGGGTTTAGTGATTGACATGACTAGTGGTTGAGGGTTGCAGGGTCTGCTGCGCTGTGTTTTGTTCCAACCTTTCATAACAAAACGATTTATTACCTATTAACTTAAACATTTACACTCAGTGGTCTTTGGTAGACAAATATATGAGGAGACTGTTAAACAGAGAGAGGTTCCAAAATAAGGGCTCTATTTCTAAAGTTCTTTAGTAATTAATACAGTTTTTTTTAACATGGTGTGTGTTACCTTGTAAATACAGCATGTCGATCTCAGGCTGATCTTTAATCTTTTTCCCTTTCTTAAATTGACTTCCCCAACAGGAGGAATCCACAAAGGCTCCAGAGAGAGAATAACCTGACTCATCTGGAGTGATCTCAAACCAGACATCTACAAACAGAAATTACTGTAAGTTTTCCATTTTAACATACACACACACACACACACACACACACACACACACACACACTCACCTACACACACACACACACACACACATATGCATATATATTGCACACTCATCATAAATTACCTGTATTCATTCTATTGTCAATCACATTGTAAATGGGATACGGTTCATTGATGTAGTTGCCCCTCTGTTCTGAGATTCTGTGTTCATCAATCTGTTAAATACAGAAAATTAGATAGATGCCAAGACCAATGCAATACTGCAATACCCCCATAATAACAGCAGCCAGCCTTAACCATCACCTGCATTAATCTATTTAAAATTTAAAAGCATTTTGAGTAAAACGTTTTTTTGCATTGAGTTTCTTTAAGCATTTGCGTTCGCCCTGACATTTTTTTTTTAAATGAAGCATTTTGACTGTGTATTCTAGTTTCATCCTCTTTCTTTTGTAGTTGGATACTTCAAAATTTGGTATAGATTTTCATGTTTGGTTTTAAGCACAGTTTGGGCAGAAGATTATTGCTGGTTCTGGCAACCCTGACAATAGTGCACTAGTCTTACCTCTTTGACCATGTGAGACACAATCAGCGCTGACCACACATCTGTCAGGCTGAAATTGTCTTTTTCTGAATAGTACTGCAACAGTTTTTGACCCATCTTCCACCAGCTGACACTGCCGTCAGCAAGCCTTTGGATGATGTCATCTTTCACAGTCTCCAGTTTGGTGGACCAGTCTGGTTCTTTGTATAGTGATGTCATGCACCTTCAGAGAACAGATGAGTGAGTGTTTTTATTTATAATTTTGCTAGCAAGCATTTTCAGTGGTTAGTTCACAAAACTGTTAGTACAACACAATCAAATCAGGAACAGCTATGCCCCTACAGCTATGCCCCTAAGCAGAATGCATTCAGTGATGAGAACTTCCAAAATTTCTCTTCTCTCTCAGGCTCAGCTTTTTAACAAAACTGTGTATTTCTGCACATCAAACTGCAAATCCTTACGTATACTGTTGAAAAACTGTTACACTAATCTCCAGAACTTAACATGAAAAGCAAATCAATTTGCTAAATCACAAATACTATATTGTACATCAATCAAAGCACAAATTATGATACTAGTTATTGAGATAAACGGTTGATTGAATGTATGTAAATAAGCCAATCATCTACTCCTGAACTAAAGTCCTACCCAGGTGTTGACCACCTATTTAAGAGATTTTGTAGTAAAAGCAAATGAGGTGAGATGCCCTTTTTTTGGACAGTGACAGTATGTTCAGGATTAACATGCAACATGCTGTTTTTAATATACTTATTTTTTTATATGGCCATATTTTAACACTGGGCCACTTTCAAGCTTTTTATTTGTTTCATAGGCCACAACGTAAAACCTGTCTTTGCTTACAGGTGTATGTGGGTATGTGGGTGTGTGCAAAATGAAATGTATTTAGTCTGAATGTTTGCACTTAAATAGTTCATAATACATCATTAATGCAGACATCAGGTGTGTTCTGTATCAGTACCAAGTAGATCCTGAAACTCCACTCAGGTACATGATGCAGTCCAGCAGTCCATCTTCTTTCAGCTGACTCAGTGACCCCAGCAGTCCAACCATAGCTCTCAAAGCACCACCAGAGCCCAGCACTGCGATGTTCGGCACCTCATCCTGCATCATTCAAACACAATTCTTAAATACTCTAACATCTGTGTCTCTGCTACATCAGTAAAGGTATGTGAATTGTGTTGCTGTGAACATTCAGTTTTGTCTTGTGTTGCTACCAAAGAGCAGTTGTGTTGTTAAAGGATGTGACCTTCCTTATGGATGCAGATATTTATGATGGAGTACCATTTAAGTAATCTTAAAGACTGAAATAAATATTTATCCATAATTTATCCATGGCTCAGGATCTCTTTGAAACCATACCAATAACATTATGAATGTTTGAACAACATCTAATGTAACCAAATATATTTTACCATCAAAAATAACAACCATGTTCAAGAAAATCTGTGATGTGTCTAAAGTATAAAGGCAATTGTGTCACAAGAGGACATATGCATGTATCCACATAATTAGATAAAAGTTCAGTTAAAGAACCAAGTGCAACAGTAGGTGTACCTGTTACATGTGCAAGCGAACTTTAGGTCATATGTACAGCGCTGGTTTGAAACGCACTCAATAATTGCCTATTAATTTCTGCAATATAATCGGTTTTATTCATGAGTGTAAAGGGTCAGCCTGTGCTGCCAGCTGCCAGCAGAGGGCGACAGTGGTGAGGCGCCGTTACTCCAGGAGACTTAAAATCCCAGAATACCAAGGGGTAATCAGTGCCAGCCAGGCGCAACTGTTGCTGGCATTTAAGACTGGCAAACAGCACACGCTTGTCACACCTTTGTAGAGGGGTGACCGGTACGGTACTCAGTTTGTATCTACACAAAAAGAAGAAGTAGAAAAAAGAGAAAACAGAGCACAGCTCTAAGCTGAGAGAGAGAGAGAGAGAGAGAGAGAGAGACAAAAAGGGTAAAAAGAGAAAACAGCACAGCTCTAAGCTAGTAGACAGGGAAGGAAAGAGAAAAAGAAGAAACATTGTGCTGATTTAAGACAAAAGAAAAGAAAAAGCTGAAATATAGTCAGCTCCCCCTCTCTCCTTTTGAGAGATGCATTGGTTTTGTAATTTTAGTCAGTTTCTTGAATTTATCCTTTGTTTGTGTCTCACTGTTTTGGGCTTTCGAGGCCAGAGTCGCTGGTTTGAAGTTACTTCCCTCCAACTGTGCACAACACACTCACTGTCTCCACAACATTATTTATTACACCCTACTATATTATAGAAATACCAACATGGTGAGTAAATAAGCCCATATTTTATATTTAGATATTATTTTCACTTCTCAGTTTGATCTTAAGTCTTTGACATACTAGATTGTTTCTGAGTTCTGTCATTCATGTTTTAGTTTATTGTTTTTGACATTGGATATCTGCTTTTTCTGATTGCTGTTGTTTGACCTGCAGCCTCATTTATCAGACTTGTACGCACAAATTTGATGCATTTTCACGTACAACCATTTTCAGCGTGTAGTATTCAAAAAAACAAACTAAGTGGATATTTTTCACGAGACACATTTACAAAAAATTCACTAAATGTCTTATTTTACCCCACATCCACAGCCAATGCTGTGTGTTACATTCAACCCCTACTATGCAAAGCGATGTAGCCTGTTATATACTATTTATACATGCTCCTACAGCGGAAGGTGGGAAAACCAGTCAAAGTGAAACTAAACGTCATGCGTGCTGCCTTTAGTTTAGCCTTCACTGCTTTTAATTATTATTATTATTATTATTATTATTATTATTATTATTATTATTATTAATACAAAAAATATAAGTATTAATTGAGAATCATATAAGAAAATGACACAGATCAAATTAAAAGATAAATACCTTGAGACATAGTTTTAGTTAAATGCTAAGTTAAAGAGAGATGTTTTTAGACACTTCTTAAAAGTGAGCACTGAGTTGACTGTTTAATAAAAGGTAGAATTGAGTTCCACAGTTTCATAACAAGTATAACAACTGAACAAGTCTCTCCACGTTTTCTGTATTTTACAGAGAGTGTTGGCAGAAGGCCAGTTCCTGCAGATCTAAGATTACGTGCTGGAACATAAACAGACAGACACTCTGTGATGTAAGCAGGTGCTTTAAGGTCATTTAGAGCCTTAAAAACTAGTAACAGAATTTTAAAATCTGTCCTGACTGATACAGGTAGCCAGTGCAGTTCTTTTAAAACAGGAGTGATCTGATCGCTCTTTTTATGTTTTTGTTAGGATCTGTGCAGTTGTGTTTTGTACGAGTTGCAGAGAATGTATTGTTTTCTTAAGAAGTCCAGTAAGAAAAGCATTATAGTAATAAGGTCTGCTTATAACAAATACATGAACAAGTTCCTCTGCGTCACTCTTACATAGAAAAGGCAGAACTTTAGCGATATTCTTGACTATTCTTGATAGTCTTGATCATCAGAAGGAATGGAAATGTATAACTGGGTGTCGTCAGCATAATTTATATTATGTTTCCTAATGACATCACCTAGAGATAGCAAGTACATGACCCCCTGACCCCAGCCCTGGCTTATTTCACTAGAGCAACCCCATAGGAAATACAGCCTATGCATGTATTTTGGGGAATAATTGATTAGACAATATGATAAATGGTTAAGTCATGAATGTTAACACATCTTGCCATGAGAAGGGAGACAGCACACACTTGCGAGCAATGAACTCTCACCAAAGAGAAAAAAGCCTCATAATGAACATTTTCTATAAGAATAGTATAGGAGTAAGTTATTACTGATGGGGCTAAATAATTTTTTTTCTCATGTGGTAAACTGCCTTTTTCTTTCACTGATGTAGGCCTATTGGATTGCTGTAAATTAGACCTTTAAAATAAAGTCAGGACATTACATTACTCACAGTAAATGAATGAGACAGCATCAGGCAGCTGACTGCCCCCATGTGCCGCTCCACCAGGCCTGAACTCTCGGAAAAAAGGTAATGAACTGTTACTGGGGTAGTATCCCTCTTGTCACCATACTCAATCAAATCATATATTTTAAGTTGTATTGACTCCACACACTTTGTCTTGACTGCAGGCTTTGTATTTAATTGTTCTGTTTTAAAACATGTTTTGAAAGTGTACAAATAGACACCCTTTCCCTAATGAAAAAGTATTTCAGATACACAGTTGGACCTTAAAACCATTGTTATACCGGTGAGGGTACATTTACATTGTTTGTACCTTGATGAACAAATAATGTTCCTGCACAGAACCTTTACTTCCGGCAGTGTGCTGTGACTGCACAATCCGTGAACGTGCTTCTTACAGATAGAAGTCTAATACTTCCACTGCAAATCATGCAAATGAGAATGATTAAACTGCGTACAGTGTACATGCAAATAAGGCTACTACTGCAGGCTGCACAGCAAATATTATGTATTCGTTCATTCATTAATGTTGAAGAGAACACACTGCACTACACTCTTTCCTCTCCCTCTGAGTGTTTTTTGCTGGGAACATTTCATGTGCAAATCAGCTCATGGATAGGAGGAGCTCGAAAATTTGTTTGCGTGTTTCAGCTTGATGCTGTAGAACTTGAAAAACCCCTCCTTAGGCCAGGAAGAATTTGGGATGGGTGTGGGAATAAATGAAAGTCCTTTATTCAAAGATGATTCAAAGGGTGGTTTGTCAAATTGAAGATCAAGTCAACAGATGTCTGCATTGGTCATGTCAGCATACCTTTTGGGTTCCCTGAACCTTGTTTACCACGTCAATTAACCTTTTTCTCCCCTCTAATAACTCTGTGATTTCCAGGTTTTACTAAGACTAGAGTTCTTGTGTTTATTTACACTGGAATGGATCCTAGACCAAATCAAGCCTTACCTCTCACTGGAAGCCCAGGTAACAAAACTGAAGCTATCTTACTTTGGACACATTCTGGAAAAAATCACTGGAAAAGACTGTTATGCTTGGAAGAGTGGAAGGTAAAAGAGGAAGAGGACGACCGGCTACAAGATCAGAGGAATCATGAACCAGCTACTAAGAAACCTGAAAACTCAAACAGAAGGCAGGATATTCTGGAGAAATACTATCCATGGTCACCAGGAGTCAGAAACGACTTGACGGCACTTAATAATAATAATATGTTTCTGGCGAAAGCCTGTTGAAACATATGCTGACTTGTTTTTACTAACTTCTTTGTTTTGATGTAAGAGTCAATTACTTCTGCCATGTTGAGATAGAAAATCAGTGTTTTAGGTTTTGAACAGGGCTCAGCCAGTTAGATTTTAGTTTTTTAGACATTCCACTGATTCTATTGATATACAATGTTCCGTGCATAATGACATGCAAACTGTCACATTCAGTAGCCATGACTGGGTCATTTTTCCTAAATTGTCATGATTTAACAGTCAAATAACAGTTCCTGTCAATTCTTACCACCAAAACCGCAAATGAGCCAAATAAGCATGTGTCTAAATTAGTAATATGCCAGCAATGAGTGTGTTTATATGCACTCAATAATCCAACCATAATCAGACTTCTGCAGTTATATGATTATTCAAGTGGTCATGCAAACAGCATACTCTGATTTCTTAGATCAAACTAATGCTTAGAAATCCAATTAAGAAAGCTGATAAAGAGAGCTGGATTTTAGCTCAGTAATCTGATTTCTCAGTACATGTTTACTCTTACTCTGATTTCTTTCAGATTGAAAAACAGACCGCAGTACCGGAAATAAGCAAGCAGCGTTGCCACGAAATGGCAGCAAAACATTTTTGGAGCGATACTGAAACCATCTACATGGTTAGCGAAATGATTTAAATATTCTTCATCTTCTGGATGATGCATGTTGTTCATATTTTCAGCTAAAGTGGTGCGATTATACAGTTTTACATTATGTTTGTCACGTCTTCTCTGAGGTTTTTGGCTGGTTGCAAAGCAGAAATCTGTATACTGCCTGACTCATGTAGACCAAGAGTTTTCCAATTTTCTGATTACTCAAGTGCATGTAAACATGTTTATCGAATTACTGACAATCTGATTTTCTTCAGTTATTGGATTAATAAGTGTACTTGCACTGGCACAAAAAGCCTTCGGTTTGCTATATTGTAGTGTCACTGTAGAGTAACACACAGAGGAGGTCATGATTCCACCACAAGAAGTGCTCTTTATTAAACACTAGGCATAAAGGCACATACACAGCACTCAACTCACCAGGCATGTTTCCCATGGCGGTAGACCAACCCCAATATAAAATATACTAACTAAACCCAGAACCCCGACACAAAATAACACTAACACTAATAACACACCTTTACACAAAAAACAACAACATTTAAACATAAAGTCCCTTTTTAGAAGGTCATTTGCCTACCATGAGCTTCTCAGAGCCAGCGCCAGCCAGTAGCAAGTCACTACAGCATTATACTATACAGAGCCGTATACCTTATTTTTTTCACTTGAGCTATGACCATGAAAGTAGAGCCCTAAAGTTAATATCGAAGAATATGATTTACCTCTCTGCAGAATATCTTGTGCTGGTTCAGGCACTGTAGAACGGATTTTCTCCTCCTGGCCACATGCAGCTTCTCAGCTTCATTCAAAGAGTGACCAATTCTCACCTCACTGCTAGACACATTACACAGGAACAGATAAATAGTTATCCTGAACTGATACATATTACTCATATAAGAAGTGTTTTATATATAATAATAGTTTTATAATTGATGCAAATACCTTTTTGTCTTTTTGTCCTTCTCCATCTATGAAAATTAACAAAAGAACAGCATAAAGAAAAGAACAACTGCCACCCATTTCAAAACTAGCTTTAACAAGCCCTCATCCCTCAAGGCAATCCCCAGTGCCATTTTATTATTCCTTTTCTGCCTTTGCTTAAGTGGAGTTTATTATATGAGGGATTAAATGAACGCAACTGTCAACTTCAGCAGCAGAAGTCTACACTTGCCCATAAATCCTTGGAGTCTTCAAATAATGGCAGACAAAGCAGTTTAAGCCATAGGAATAACACACTTTAAAATGCTTCTAAAGCTCTATTTGCTGGGCTTTAATTTGTACTGCTGATGCAACTTTATCACTTTATCACTCTGCTAGCTTGCTAGATAGTGAGCTAAGGGCTACAATGTTAACATCAGCATAAAAAGGCACTCCACCATGCTTCTAAACCAAAATTTATTGCTAGACAAAACAATAACTCACGTCATGTTCAAACCTCTCAAATATTTTGCATTATAAAGTTTGCATAGTTAGCTCTTCCTCTTCTGCTGAGAATGGCCAATTGTGTGATAGTGCCCTATATAATGTCCGTAACACAAACCATAAGGCTAGAAAAAAATGCTCGATTCTAAAGAATCTCCAGATGCTCTCTAGATGCTGCTGTCAGGCATTTACTGAATTAATATAACCCAGATTCTTTGATTTAAAGTAACTTCAGAGCAATTTCAAATCTACTACTCTAAAAACTGTAAAAAATGTAAAATACTAGACGAAGTAATATTTACATAAATACATGATTTAGATCTTGGTCAGATCATAGCATAGAAATAGCACAGCCAAAAATAATAACTGATTTGAGAGTCAATGTTGAATGAAATATGGCTTCAGTTTCTGCACTTCTAGATTTAAGTGCTACACTTCACAAGAGATCATACTGTCCTTATGAACCACCTTGAAAATTGGGTTGGTCTGCCAGGGACTGTCCTAAGACAGATTGATACATATCTTGAAGGAAGAAAATACATTGTTAGTTTGGGTCAAAGGTGGAATGTAATACAGTTCATTTTCCCTGTGACAGTATTTTTCATTAACTAATTAGAGGAAAGCCTGGTTAAGTTTAAGAGATCACAGAATACAGTCACACAGTATGTTCTAGCTGCACATTAATACACAGCAATGTTTATTGTTTATTAGACCATGAGTGGTCTTTAGCCCAGAGGACACAGTGTCCATGATTTCCAAAAAAATTTCAAATGTTGATTTGCCAGACCACAGGACACTTTTCCACTTTGCCTCAGTCCATTTTAAATGAGCTCGGGGCCAGAGAAGGCAGTGGTGTTTCTATGGTGTTTATATGTGGTTTCTTCTTTGCATTTTAGAGTTTTAATTAGCATTTGTGGATGCAGCGACAAACTGTTTTCACAGACAATGGTTTTCAGAAGTGTTTCTGAGCCCATGCAGTTTCTACTACAGAATCATATTTGTTTTTAATGCAGTGCCACCTGAGGGCCCAAAGATCACAACCAGCAAATACTGTTTTTTTTTTGCCTTGACCCTTTCATACAGAGATTTCTCCAGATTCTCTGAATCTTTTAATGTTATTATGTACCATAGATAATGAAAAGCAAAAGTTCTTTGCTCTTTTATGTTGAGAAACGTTATTTTTAAATTGTTGCACTATTTGCCCAAGGAGTCTTTCACAGAGTGGTGAACCCCTCCTTATCTTTATTCTGAAAGACTCAGCCTCTCTGGGATGCTCTTTTATACCCACTCATGTTACTGACCTGTTGCCAATTAACCTGTTTTTTGTTTGTTTGTTTTTTTAGCATTACACAACTTTACCAGTCTTTTGTTGCCCCGTCCCAACTTTTCTGGAACGTGTTGTTGGCATCAAATTCAAAATAGGCAAATATTTTTCAAAAATGATTTTCAAAAATGATGATCAGTTTCAACATTTGATACGTTGTCTTTGTACTATTTTCAATGAAATATAAGGTTTAAATGATTAGTGTCAAGTTCAAATGAACAGCGTCCCAACTTTTTGGAAATAGTAAATAATAAATACTTATTAAATACTTTACTATAAAATGTATAATAATTATTTAATTATATATTGTCTGTAGTGTATATAGTGTCTTGAGAAAAATCTTCTATTGCCATACTTTCCTTCTCCTGCCAGACACTCCACTCTCACCAGTACTCCCACCATTTCTCCATTTCTAAATCAATCTATCAAGTTAATTTGCTGTCGGCTCTGCTCACTGCCCAAGACTATTCAGGTGTGACAGTTTACAAAAATGGCCATTTCTGGATTTATTTGGTTCACAATGGATGTTCAACCTTAATAAAAAAAATATTGTGGTAACACGAGATTTAACTGTTTTTTATTCGACTAAGTGAATACTTTTTAATGAAACAATGCAAAGCAAAATTTTACTTTAGATGAACAAAATCAGTACTAACAAGCAATGCTAACAAACATACAGTCCATTCAGTGAACGCAATTTCCAATTTTTTTTAATTGCTTCTCACTCAGTGTCAGCTTTTAACAATACTGTGTGTTTCTGTAGCTCAAGCTGCAAATGCTTGCAAACACTATTGCACAGTTGTTACATTAAGCCCCCCCAAAATTATATTTATAGAGACAAACTGCTGATCGAATGTATGTAAACAGGCCAATAACAACTCATTTCCATCTGAACTGAAGTCCTATGTAGGTATTGACCATCTATGAAAGGGAGCACTCCTGGTGTTATGAGCCCAGCACATAATACCCAACTTCTTATTTGTACATGTATAAGTAAGAGAGGACATTAGGTGTGATGAGGATGAGAACATGTGGTCAAACAATGTAGAGGAAGCAAGTGAAGAAAAGAAAAGAAAAAAGAAAAGAAAAGAAAAGAAAAGAAAAGAAAGGCTTTAGTATATCTTTGATTATGAGTGTCCACATTTACCGAAAAACTATTGCTTGGTACACCCTCTGTAATTTAATCTCAGCACAACTTAATGTTAACTAGTAAGATAAGGCAGACAAGATATCTAATCAGCCAGTGTCGCCACAACTGCTAGTTGGGTACAGCAGTACAGTTTAGAAGTTCATCTTCTGAATTTTCCCTTATTTGTAGCTAGTATTAACAAAAATGGTTTAGCAGTTCAACCAAAAAAAAACTTTCTCTGGTAACAAGCAGCTTGACTGGTTAAATTCAAATCAAATAAATACTTAAATATAACACTTACTTTGATTTGGATAAATAAAAGCAATATTTACATCAATTTAATCCTTATAAACATTTCAAATCAACTTCTGCCCTGTTCTGCTTTTTACAGTGTTGTCAAACTTACAGTAATTGCTGGTGCTGGCATGTAATAAAGTTGAGCTGAAGTACACACCTTTAGTTGTGGATGCCGAAGTCCATAAGCAAACT